CGTGGCTTTAGTATTACAGAAAAATATCGCAAACGATGCAGTGCAAAGAAAACTAGTGTTTAATGACTGAGAGGATTTTCTGGCTCATGATGACGATTGGCTTTAGGTTTTAGCGGTAATGGTTTTAGAACTGTGTTCAGAGATAAAGTTGGATTTGAAACGCCGTATGATGAGCTGTGCTGGGTTTCAAGTAAATGAGGGAACTGGAAGAGGGAGCACATTTTTACTTACTCACCACAAGATGAATATGTTTATGGTACCAAAACCATCTTCATTCTGTAATTGCGGCACTTATATGGGGTGTGTAAATGCAACTGACATTGTGGTGAGATGGCCCGTTTTAACAAGAGATTCTGTCTTTCTGCTAAACAGTCTGGGAACAAACTGCAAGCTGGCACAAATTAAGATGGGTGACCTGCCCCTGAAGCATATTGTGCCCTCTAAAATGTCACCTTGAACTCATGTTACAATTAGTATTCAGTGTTTCAAGCTACAGCTGCATTGTCGACAATTTTATGGCAAATTTGTGATTTTTTTATAACATCTTTCCCTGCCAAGAATTTATTTACTTTATTTATTTATTTATTTATTTACTTTATTAATTTACTTTATTTGGATTTTTATTTAAAGGATATATTTTTAAAGAATGTAAAAAATGACCTGACCTCCAGTAGTGTTTGCATCACAGTTAGCATGTTATCTGTGTGGTGGAAGGCTATAATGGCTGGTCAGTGGTACACTATTCATTTTAGCTAACTTGAGCTATTTAAAACAACTCAGACTGAAAAACTTTATATGAGTGGGATAAAATGCTGCATTAACTGATATTAACATTCTGTCAGAGTTGTTTCATTGCACTTTGATCAACCTAACAGTGACTGTGTTCCTGTGTGGTTAGCCTAGTTGTATCTGCTAGCTTAATAATTCCCACATCAACAACTCTATAGTTCTGCCATGAATGGAGTCATCTTTTGATTTTGTTCCAGTCAGCTGTGCAACAGCATTATAGATGGTATGTTGGTATGTTTCATGGTTGTTTGAAAATTATGCTAGATTTTTTTAGCTGCCAACTATTTAAGGAGTAGCTGGAACAGAATAGAACAGAAATACCTTTATTATCCCACTTTGGAGAAATCTGAGTGTAATACCAGTAAAGTGACAAGGCATGAAGGCATGTTAAGACAAAGTATTAAAAACAAACAAAATTAAGAATAATATGTAAAGGCTGAGTTACAACATAATGTACTGTGCAGTTATCAAAAGTAGCATAGTCTGATCCAAAGAAATGTGCAATTAAGATAATTATTTTTAAATGTACAAAATGTGCAGGAGTATTTTTCCATTTTAAAAAGACTATTTACAACACATGACAAATGTATAGCTTCTCATGAGCTTACAGTGATGCAACACCTATTGTGTTACATGTAAAGGTATTTCCAGTGATATGCTCTTAGGACATCACCTCAAAAATCCAAACTAATGTTCTAACTCTGAAGTTGTCTAAGGGCTGTCCACTTTTCCAAATGGAGGATAAAAACATAAAAGGAGAGGGGAAATAATAAAACATTATAACTTTGCTTTACTTTGTTCAGCATTCTTTCTGCTGAAAGTCCCGCTGTCCTGCAGTGATGCTTAAAATAGCTAGCTTTAATTCTGTCTCCCTCACTGCAGAGTTCAAATAGGGGTTATTGTTACTGCAATGCTGGCAGTGCTTATTGCATTTTCTGATCTGGGTAAAAATAAAAAAAATTCTGACCAAACAATCAAAAAGCTGAAAATCATCTGATTCAATACCAATTTCTTGTATCTCTACTTCATATCTGTAAGTTTTTTGCAGGGTAAACTACAGATTCAGTTTGTTTGTTTTTTAAGTCTCTGTTCACACTCAAGTCAAAGAAGACATATGTAAAGTTTTAAACACATGAGCTTCAACTATTCCCCTATGTACTACTTCATTCACTTACAGCAGGGGTCCCCAAACTTTTTCCTGCGAGGGCCACATAGCTGTTCCTTTCTGTGGTCGGGGGCCGGTCTTAGTTTTTGCACTTTTGGATAGATTTTTACCCAGAATGCAAATGGAAAAAACCGTGAGTGAAACGGTGACTGACGAGTATATATTCCATTGAGGGAAAGTTTCACATTTGCTCAAAAGCCCCCTGGTGGTTGAAAAAAAATCCACATATAAACCGGAAAATACAATATATGAAAAAAAACACTGAATGCTCTCTGGTATGAGCAGGCGGGCCGGATCCGGCATTGTTCAGGGGGCCGGACCAAATGACGTGGCGGGGCGGATCCGGCCCGCGGACCCTAGGTTGGGGGCCCCTGACTTACCGGAAAACAATAACTGATGACTCAGATTTGGCACTTCAAATATAATTAAGTTTTTCTGCAGATAATTTCAGGAGCATCTAAACCTCTCATTTGGAGAAGTTCCTCTTCTTCCCTTGTGTTGACAGGATTGTTAATTGTGTGCAGATAACCACAGGCATTTTGACATCTTTTTCTTATTTATATTGAGGTATGTCAAGTAGGGAGTCTAGCATTCCCTAGCAGGGAATGCTATACACGAACAATGTCCATAGATTTATATGCATGCACATTTCTAAAAATGTAGATTGTTTTTGCTGTTTTCTTCTAAGCATCCATGTTTAAGTTGGACTCCATGTAACTCTACATCTTTACCTTCTTTACCTCTGACACGTTAAAATCACAATTTTTCCTTTCTTCCTCCACTCCCTGCATGTTTACACACAAGTTTGAATGTTCTGTCTTTTCTGTTTCTCGGCTGCGCTGCCTCAATAATTAATTGGTTATCATAAATCATTGAGGGAAAAACACTGAGGCTCAAAGAGCAGTAATCTGTTTCTAAAATGATCAGCAGAAGCATTCCTGTGCTCCTTTTGCTCACAGATGAGTCCTTAAATCACAAAATCTGTCTATAATGATGAGTCGTAGGATAACGGCTTGAGAAAAGGAATAGAACAGTGGAGACACTTAGAAAGAAAAGAAAATGTCTTTGCCTGTGTGTGATTTCTAGCTGAAGCCGTCCTTTCACTCCTAAAAGCTGCTAGAAGTGTGCTGCATATGGAAGAAGATTGGTGCATACATCTTTTAACAGCCTCTTGAGCGCTGTAAGCCTAATGACAGTTATGTAACTGTTCCCCCTCAAGCCTCGCATGGCCGCTCGTTGCATAATGTTAGTGTTATTTCTTTTATGCAGCAATGATTTTGTGTGGGGGCTGACTGTTGGTTCAGTGCCATAAGGTGCCTCCCATCTTGTTAGTTATTTTTAAGGTGTACAAAAAGAAACGCTGCTCTCTGGCTACTGCTGCTCAGTGCCTGCAATATACACTTGCTGGGTACTTTTGTAATAAGATGAAGCATTTTAGTCTCCTTTTTAATATGTTTTATCTTGTACAGTGCCTTTCAAAAGTATTCCCTCCTCAAAATATGTAACTTTTTAAATAAAAATATGTTAAAATATTTCCCACCATGTTGTGATGGTATGAGACAGATAATCTGTCAAAAATTTTGCAACTCTGGCTTCTCCCAGTGGTCCTACTGCCATCAGCAGAAATACACAGCTTGGTCAAAAACAACCAATCAGAGCCGGGGGGGGGGGGTCTTCGCACTGTTCACACCCTCCCCCTTGCTCTCTGCTACAGCTTCTTCCAAATAGCAGAGCCTGTCATGAATGCTAAGGCTAGTTAGCATAGCCACCGATTATGACAGATAAACAGTTTTCCTATAATGGTAAGTTGTTTCTCCTCTATTAACACATTGAGCAGCATGTACACAGGCATGATTGACAGCCCTAATATTCTCCTCTGGGCTCTGATTGGTTGTTTCTGACTGGGAGCGGTGTGTCTCTGCAGATGGCAGTAAGAGCACTGGAAGGAGGTGGAGGAGCTTTTTTTCAGACTGTCTCATACTGTCATGACATGGTTACAGTTTAAACAAATATGCTTAAAACACCTTTTTTAAAATAGAAGTTACATACTGCAGCTTTAAAATCGTCAAGCTTTTTTCCAGGAAAATTACAGACGTAAATGTATTTTGGGGAAATTTAATATGATAGTCCAAAACATAGTTGCACATAATTATAAAGTATAAGGAAAATCATATTTTCTTTAAAAAATATGTGCCAAAGATGCTGCGGGGGAAAGGCTCTGCAGATACGACTTCAGCTGAACAGTTGCAGAACAACTGAATCCTGAGGAATCAATCCCAATCACAGAGTTTCCTGTTGATCTTTAGACTCAACCTCTTTAGTAGGCCTCTAGTCTATTAAGGAGACCAGAGGCCTCTGTAATAGTCTGGCTTTATCTGGCCATATCTGGCTTTCCCTAATATATAGGTCTAACTTTCAACAGTTTTTTTCTGCATGCACACTTTCCATATCTGGTCTTCTATTCTGGGATCCATACCTTTCCTTATTTGAGCAGTGTAAGACTTCTGCCTTATCAGACACTACAGTAAAGATAAACTGTACAAGAATTTGAGTTTTGTGTTCAGCCCATTTTACTCTGATACAATTCAGTCAAGTGTCACCAGCTGCTTTTAGACATTAAGTTATAAATGGACTCCATATGTGGTAAATTTAGTGTCTGTGTGATTCTGGTTGTTCTGTGAATGCATCAGAGAACAACAGTGAACAAATAACATCATGAGCACAATAAGCAATTAATCAGTTAATCAATGAATTGCATGATAAATTAGAGTGAGCTTAATACTTTAGTGAATGATTTGAAAATAATTGAAATACAGGTTTGATTTTATGATTTCAAAAAAAATATTAACATGTATTTAAAACATTTATTAGATTAAATTTTTTTTATTTTCATCTTCTCTCCTGCTTTCTGTGATGCTCTGCCACATAAAGTTATGTGGTTGTAATGTCATAAAATGTAAAAATGTCCATGGGTGTGGACGATGATTGGACTGTACTTTGCACACACTAGTAAAAACATTAATTTATTTTTTGCCTGTTTTTCCAGCTCTTCTGGTTGCTGCTCGTTTGCACGACTTTTGCCGCACCACCAAAGAAATCGTGAACGTGGTGAAGGTCTGTGAGAACACGCTGAGGAAAAGGTGAGTCGAGAAGATTTTGATTTGGCCCCTCCTCTTTCTAGAAATCCTCACAGCTTTTCTGATCCCTCCAGGTTTCTCAGAAACATGTATTGAACTGCATCAGTATGGCCCAGTGAGTGTGTGTGGGGTTTTTAAGACGTTATGCTCCTTCTAACAGGCTGACGGAGTTTGAGGACACACCCACAAGTCAGCTGACCATAGAAGAGTTCATGAGGGTAGACCTGGACGAGGAGTGTGACCCACCGTGTTTTACAGCCGGGCTGAGGAAGAAAAAAGACCAGCAGGTATCTGGTCTTTGTCCTTTTTTCCATTTTTTTAGGTTTGTCTAGGTCTACCTTCCTTTTCTGTCTTGTCAACCACTTATTCCTCCTGTCCTGTCTTGTTCCACCTGCCTTTGTCATCCTTATTTTCTTTCTTCCTTGTGTCCTGATTCTCCTCTTTTCTTCTTGCCATGTTTCCTGCTTCTTTCCTCCTGGTGTCAATCCTTCGTTCCATCATTTCATCATCTCCTTCCGTTTGCTTCCCTTATTCTGTCCATGTGTCCCATCTCCTTTCTTCCAGTGTTTTGTTTTTGCAATTAATAATTTAAAGCCTGACCTCTAAAAAATGAATAACTTTAGTAACTTCATAGTCAGTTTGTTCCTTTTGTAAATTAAAATAAACATGAGGGACACAGAATTCAGAGCAGTTCTTCCATGAAGTTGTGAAGTTACCCTGACTGATTTCAGCTCATGCTTTCAGAAAAAAAACACATTTCAAATGAAAAATAAAATATTTGTTACTTTTAACAAACATAATTGCTGCTCATGTCACACAAATCCTCAACAAAAACTCCACAACTCCCAACCTCTTCCACTCTGTCTCTTTAAGAAGTTTCTCCACTTCCAGTTTCTGTTTGGTATTAAAATTTCTCTGATCCAAAAAAAAGAAGAAAATGAACAAAATAAAGGTGGCAAATTATTGTTCAGATATGTTTTTGACTCTGTTTTTAACTGTTAGGTGAAATTATGTTTTTCTGGCTCCATAGTTAATGTTCTATCTCTCTACATCAGAATTAAAACTGTTAATTTTTTTCAAGTGAACAAAAACTTGAACGTAACCAGACGTTTAAATCATAATTAAACCTCTGGAGAAACGCGCTGAGCATTTTTCCTGAGCCGTGTCTTGTATTAGCACTGACATCAGACTCCTGTTATCCTCTCACTCTGCATTACAGGTCAGATTTAGAAAAAGCCTTTCATTGTATAATTTGGTATTTTGTTTCCCCCCTCTAGCTGAAACTGGAGCTCCAGAAAAAGATAGGTGACTTTGAAGGTATGAAAATAATATTTCTGTTCCAAATGGAATTCTGATTCTCAAGGTCAAATCAAATTCTGTTCGCTGGCTTTGTTGGTGATCTGTAACTTTGACTTCTACTAGCACTCTCAGTTTATTTTCATGTTCTACAGTGCTTTTCAAACATATTCATATCACTTTTATTACATTTAGGCCAAACTTTGGATAGCCCTGCATTAGGGGATGAAACATGAAGGCATGTCACAATAAACCATATGTAGAAGTTAAACACCACCTATCATGTCTTTTCCCCTTCATTATTGTCCACTACTTTGTCTTGGCTTTACACAAATCCCATTAAATACGCTGAAGTTTGCGGTTGCAAAATCAACCAAGCTTCCAAAGAATCCAGTGTGTTTATCTGGCCTGTAGATCTGAAATGTTTTACCGCTTCACTTCTCCCTGAATCAGATGAAATCCAGGAATTCCAGGATGAAATAGATGCAGAGCTGGAGAGCTGCAGGCCCAAGCTGAGAGGAGTTTACGCTGCCTACACCAAGGAAGGTGGGTGAAATCACACCCACATTCAGAGGTGGGAAGGAACCTTGTCTGATTCAGAAATGAAAGTTAACTTGTGTAGAGAAGCCCAACTAATTTTTAAAAGTCGGTACTTGTTGCTTGTGCTCAAGCAGTTGTTAAAATTGTCAAAATTATCTCTTTTTTTTAATACATAACTCATCCAGATACATATTTAATAACCGATTGCAGTTTTCTGACCGATCACCAATCTTTGAAAAGCTTTTTTTGACTAAACCCACTGTGAGGATTGTTCTGCTACATTAGATTTAAATGAATTGGTGTCATAGATTAACGATTAATTGATTTTGTTATGTCTTCACATCACGTTTTCTCCCCTCAGATATCTTAAGTGATGACAGCAGCTCCTCGTCATCTAAGGAGGAACCGAGCGAAGGCGACGAGCTTCACGCCGTGGCGAAGCACTTCGGTAGAGAGCTGGAAGAGCTCACCCTAGAAGCTCTCATCAAACTAGAGGGGGGAGAGTTAGAGGAGGAGGACCAGGAGGAGAATGTCCCCAAGCGAAAAGGTCCCTCACTGGCTTCCATACTGGGAAGAATGACCTCCTCGTCCTCTCTGGGCCTCTCAGAGACCTTCAGCCACTCTGTCAGGGACGACGTGGACATCGGTAAGTTTGCCAATAGAAACTCAGCCGGTAATTTTTATGTAGTTTTTCTTATTTCTTGGGATTTTTTTTTAATTCCATTTCCTTCTATTCTTCCGATGTTGCACAGTTATGTACCAACAGAATTACCCCAGTTATGTTAATTACGCCTTAAACCCTAATTACTAGAGATGCACTTATCTGAATCTTGTGGCCAGTTTCTCTTGCGTTTGGACCCATGCCATTAGCAGCCCACTGTGATTGGCTCTTTAACCCGAATGCGCCGACTGTCTCCCATCCACATATGAACGACTTGCTCCAAACATTTCTGGTTATACAGTATCCCAGCAATTATAGATCATAAAAACATAAAAATACTGAAAAACAAGCATCAGAATGATGATACAGTCGTCTTTGCTATTCATCTTGTAAATTGGATAATTACTGCCAAGCCAATTACCTTTCAATAAGTCAACACGTTATTTGACCCTAACTAGCCTTAGCATCCATGACAGGCTGTGCTGTGGGGAACTAGCTGTAGCCTAGCAGAGAGCAAGGCAGAAGGTGTGAGCAACCTCTACGTCAGTTGTGACTCCATTGCTGCTTCTGTTTAAATATTACTCCGAATTATAGAGGTGCAGAAAGAAATTGATTCTGTAATGAATCTCGATTGCTAATCCTGGGAATTCTGAGTCAAATCAAACTCTCAAACATTGATTTTGCAATGCGTTTAAGTTGTACTAACTGCTTGTTGTGTTATTCGTCCGCTCAGCCACCGTATGGATTTTGAATAATTCTTTGAGACTTTTTAACAAAAGTTCAGGCAGCTAAGCTAACTGGTCATGATTGGTTATCATTGGCCAAAGGGCAAAACTGGGGCAAAAATCATGTAGTGTGAACTGCGCTTAAGTTAAAGAATTTGATGTGCAAACCTATTTTTGTTTAAATATAAACTTTTGGAATTTGAAACAGCATGGATCCTTTTAGAATCGTTTTAAATAAATGTTCTACTTGTTCAGACTGTCTTTTCCTCTTGCCAGTCTCATAATTTAAACAGAATCTCCAAACTGTTTGAATACAAAAATTGGTTTCTGAATCAAATCATGACCCTAAAAATCGGAATCCAATCGAGTCACTAGACACTGAAAAATTGACATCTCTACAGAATGAAATACAATTCTGAAGTGAATCCTCCCACCGTCTAGTGCAGCTGTGGGAAATGCATCAAAAACAGCCTTTGGTTCAGCAATGAACACTTTTGTGATACTCGGATCCACATATTCAAACTAGTGAGCCATAGTTTCCTAAGATGTTTTCCATACATTAGACAGTCCTTCCTCTCCCATCAGAACACATTCACCTCCCACCCCGTCCTCCCACTGAGAGCCATAAAAACACGTTTCCTGAGAACTAATGCAGCAGCATGTCACCATTACATCACATCCATCAGCGCCTCTGCACACCCAGATAAGGAAGGTTAGGTACACAGAGCCTCCTACTCTTGTAATGAGGGAATTATGGGTTACGTATGACGGATCCCTGCAGTGGCTTTATTTGTGCAACTGTTTGTGGGCCACAGTGACAAAGGCTGCAATTACTTGCACTCTGTTATTTCCTGCCAGCAGAAAAGTTGAGTTGGCTTTGTGTTTAGGTGTCAGTTAGGTAAACGTATGTACGAAGCAATCCAACCTGTGCTTCTCTTTTTATGTATTTATCACAACAGTTTGCTTCCAGTGGGGAGAGGCTGTGGTTATTTCATCCTTATGAAAACTAAATATAAGGTGTGAAGAAAAGGAGAGGCAGAGGTTTCTGTCTGACATGAAAAGTAAGGAAGCAAGCTAACGATAAAAGATTCCTGACAGAGGATTGTTACACTTTAAACCATCAAACTTCACAACATTCTGTCTTAAAGGGGTAGTATTATGTAAAATCAACTTTTTTGAGCTTTGTGTGATGTTATAATGTTATTCCCTCATGAAAAACAAACAAATTTTTGCCTTGCTTTGTTCATGCATGTTAGAGAAATCCTTTGACCTTTGAGGTGTGGAAAATGCCTGGTTGGACCTAGCCCCACCTTCAAGGTGTAGCTCCTCCTCAGAGGTGCAATTTCCAAGCTTTTGCCTCACAGAGCAGCTGTCCTCCATGACTTCCCCACTAGGACCCTTCAGACTAGCCAGCAGCAATTAGCAAACTCCTGGGAGAACTGCTTCTCAGTGCAGTCCTGGTAAAAATGTTGATAAGGGGTTAATAGAGGAACCATGTTGTGATGAAGGCGGAGTTTCAGAAAGAACTGGAGTTTTTAAAGAGACAGAGGCCCAATTTCAAGGCATTAAATTACAAAGTTAGTTTTCCTTTTAATTCATATGTGATATATATATATATATATATATATATATATATATATATATATATATATATATATATATATATAAAAGATGTTATTTTTTTTATATGTATGTCATACTTACTTGACATAGTGCCTGGAAAACTCACAATACTCTTTAAGAAAACAAATGTATTTTTGATGGATTCTATAAAGCAATCCTATTGTTTACTATGTTTCATCATTAATTTGGAAATAAAAGTGTGAGCATGGATATATATTTTTTTTTAGATTAAAATACAATACGTTAAACTTTTTTGTTATGACTGCATATCCAGAAGAGAAAAACATAAAAATGGTCCTTTAGGAAAAATGAGGGGATTAAAAAGCATTTAGCTAATCATAAATCTTAGTAATGATGGGAACAAATATGATGAAATTGGTTCGAATAAAAGTCTTTAAAAAAAACATCCTTATTGCAGGTTAAACCAAGCAGTAACTTGATGAGAAATGTCCCCAGATAGCTTCCTTGACCTAATATTGCTATGGAAATATGTGTTATGGGTGACATTCTGAGTGAAAAGAGCCACAACTACGTTGAGTAAGTGCTCTTATACTCCACAAGTCCTTCAGTTAATTGTAAACGTCTCCCTTTTTATTGGATTTAGAATGACGTTAGCCCAAGTCATCCTTCTTGATTCATGGACCTCAGCACTCATTGCATGTAGCCACAAATGACAAAATTTCCTTTAAAATGACAAATGGCTGTGACAGAAGGGTTAAAGGCTGCTGGTGGAATTAGAGGTTGACCTCAATGGTGTAATTAGAGGAGAGTCATTCTTTTCTCAGAAGCCGTCTGTATGTTCAGCCCCCCTCTGCCATTATAAAGCAGAAACTAGAATAATAGTAGTGTTTTTAGGGCTTATTAATAGCAGACCTCTGCCCAAATTATTGTTCTTAATGTTCTTTTGTCTGGCTTCCTACTGTATGTGTGTTAGTAAATTGTGTGAACGGGGTTTCCCATTTTAAAAGACAGACCAACAACAGACGACGGAGCTGAGATGTTGAGCTGTCTCTACATTAAGAACCGGCTCAGTGAGCAATGCCTGATGAAACAGCCAAATCTGGTATGTTCATAATGGAGGTTAACAGTTTCAATGTGAAATTGAATTATGAATTGGCTACAGAAAAATCTGCTCTATTGCAGCCTGAATTAATTGAACATTTCCACAAACTGCACAGCTTTTACATAACTTCTCACATCTCCATTATTTCTAACTTCTCTTTTAAACACCTCAAGTGTTAGCCACTGCTAACTAAAAAGTTAGTTGCAGTAACTCTGTAGCACTAATCATAAATATTACTTACGGTCAGCAGTACACAAGAAGAAGAAGCTAATTCTAACTTCAATTTCATTTACATCTGCCCTTGAAAGATTGTAGTCATTGAGTACCAAAACAGGCTGAATGCTGCATAAAGTCTTCATTCACTTTAAAATAAGAGCATGAATATGAAAGTTTAGCCACTTAAAGAGTTGATCATCAAAACCTCATCCCAGACTTCAAACTTTATTCACCTTAAAGTTTACAAAACAGTCACATAAATCAGCATTTTACAATTTGTCTGGGAAAATTAGTTTGGGGGAAGATAAGTGCGCTAAATGTTTTTTAAAGTTAACAAAAGTGCTAAACAAAAAAATGACACATGCTATTTAGCGGATTAGCGTAGGTGTGCCACACTGACAGCAGAAAAAAGAAATTTCCAAACGGCTTTGTTTTTAAGCAAGGTGAAAACTGTTTACATTTAGTCACCAGCTAATGTTTCAGCTGTTAGGTAATTATTTTCACACCTGCGTTTCGAGAGAAAGAAATGAGGCTAATGGTTCCTCTGACTGTGACTTATAAAACATTGATAGCATCTTTCTTACCCACTCTTCACTGTATTTGTGCCAGGACAGCTGCGCGGCCCGACTTTGGATCTGGTACAGTTGAAGTTGACAGCCATGTGGCTGAATGGGCACAGCCTCTCAGGGGAAAGGTTGACATGATTGGGTGGCAGACAAACAGGCTTTGACAGTCTGAGACGACAGGTGTCACTGATACAGAGCCAGTCTGATGTTTCCTTCAGACTCGTGGTATTCTCGTAGGACAGCTTGTTATGCAGCGAACTCGAGCAGCATCACGCTGTGCGTCTGCGGGGCCTGCAGCAGTCGGTGCAGTAGCGACCCATCACAGCACTTTGCTTTGATTGGAGATGATGCGCGTCTTCTGGCCTAAGGAGATGAAGGGAAACCGTCCCGTTTGGCACAGCCGGCCTGACAGGAAATGACAGCTACCATTTAGCAGGCGATGCCAACGCAGGAAACTACTCCCCTTTTTTCTGCTGTCACAACGGATTTGACTGTCACCCACTGTAACAAGGCGGCTTTTTGCGGCTGGATTTACAGTGGAGATGAAAGTCGAGGCAGAGTAAGGTGGAAACAGCAATAGTTTGTTCTTCCAGAACACGGCAGCAAGAACAATACCAGGTGCAACTGCAGCCTTAAATAGTCCCAACCACCTCCATATCACAGGGGATCTCAATTTACCAATTTCAACCTAGTTGAATAAAATACCTTTTATCAAATACAAGCATTTCTATTTACTTTTTACAAATATTTTATGTTTTATCCTTACACCATAAGCACCATTATGAAACGCCACAAAAACTCACAAACAATTCTCATGCTTTTTCCATGGCCTCCCCCAGAACCTATAAATGATGTCCAGATGTCCAAACACCCTGGAGACACAGAAAAGACAGGAGAGTCACTCCATCTTAGCACCTCCACACTTAACATATTATGCACAAACATTTGCTCAAGTTTTATAAACCAGTAGCTCCTTGTTCTGAGTAACAATTATCGTCCCTTCACAGGGAACCACCTCGCTTCTCAATTAGGAGCAGCTGTGCAGAATCCAGAACAAAAGGCTACATACTAACCACCAAAAATACTCAAATACAGTTAAAACTTCTTGTGTGTCAATTGTTATTGATGTGCAAATCTATGCTTGAAGTACAGTGATAAAGTGCTTGCTAAAGTGCAAAAAGTGCTCTTAAAGTCCCATGCAGTTCCAGTAATGAAGATCTCTTCATTTCACCCCCTTTTTCATCTCTTATTCATTTTTTGGCTGTTTTTTTTTTTTATCTTGACTTTACACAACTCCTCATGCTTCTTCTTAGGCATGTCGCAATACGCAGTGAATTAATTAATCACATGATACATTGAAATCCCACAGACTGATCAGGCAGAGCAGCACAGGAGGATCTGAGGGTGAAATTAAAGACTTGGTATTTCACATTCTACTTTCTTTTACATCCAATGAAAATTTAATGTATTGTTGTTCGGATTTGATCAGTCCATTTGAGAGAATCAAATAAAAACAGAGTTTGATTCATCAATGTGGCGTAACATTTTATGGCTGCTCTCTAGCATTTTAAATGTTTGATTCTCATACACAGTGATGGACACATCACACACTGAATATGTGTAACAGATTTTTAAGCTTCACCTTACTCTCATCTGTCATTCCACTCGTCTCTTGGTGATTTCATTTTGTGAGCTCACTCTGTGTAGATGATTTCTTCTTTCTGCTGTCTGGAAATGACTTCATCTGTTTGGAAGACGCTACAGTTTGACACGTCTTTGGCCAAAATATTTAAAGTATGCAAAATACTTTCTGTATAAACAGTTATCCAGTTTATGCAAGGATAGACAGATGTGACAGCAAGAAAGCCACAACAAAAATGATGGCTGGTGGAAGTGTCAGTCAGCATAGTTTGCCTTCTCATGCTCATTGGACGTTCTTAAAGCTACAGTAGGTAACTTTTAGATTTTTTTTTTTTTTTTTTCACATATTTGCTACAACTGTCACTTTATCCTGACCTTATAATGAGACAGATAATCTGTGAAAAAATCAAGCTCCTCTGCCTTCTTCCTGTGGTCCTACTGCCATCTGGAGAAAAGCAACTCTCTGTCAGAAACAACCAATCAAAGCCAGGGGGCGGATCTTAGCACTGCCATTGCCCACAACCTCCCTCCTGCCCCTTGCTCTCCCTTACAGCTCTTCCCCCATAGCAGAGCCTGCAGTGAATGCTGTAGTTAGCTAGCAACAGTTTTTCTGTAAGTTTAGGTTGCCTACTTGCTGCACAGCTGCAGCAAGTAGGCAATCTTGAGTTTGTTCCCACATACACAAGCCTGATTGACAGTGCTACAAAAACTGTCAATCACAAGAAAATGGTGCAAAATAATTTCTTGATCCAAATAATTAAAAATTTTAATAATTTTAAAGTATAATAACTATAAAATTCTTATTTGAGATCAAGTGTTTCATTTGAAGAGAATCTATAAAGGAGATTGTGTGTTTTTTTGATAATCCAGAGCAGCGTCACTGTTAGAAACGTATATTTTGGTTATTTTTCTCTATGGGTAAACTCTGGAATGGAAAAGCTGCAGTAACAATGTGCTCTACAGAATATTGTCTCAACTTGTCCGTTCTGGTTATTGTTTCTATGACAGATGGTACTGCTGACAGCGGAGAGCTGGACCTGAGTGGCATAGATGACAGTGAGATCAATTTGGTATGTAAAACCTCTTCATGGATCCTCATGTATGAAAACATATATACACATCCCTACATGTAGAAGAAAATACTTTACAATTATTTAAAAAAAAAAAAAAAAGAATCTAATGTTTAACATGCATCAAAGCTTGACAGGGTGATTGCTGCAGGGTTAATCTCTGAGTTCTGTTGAACATTGTTATAGATACCTTTTATTTCACACAGTTCAGCCAAATGAAAAGTGGGAGCACTCTAATTTTTTATGATGGCTAAATTGAATGTCTGGCGTCGTTAAAAAGATGTGGAATCGGAACAATAGAAAACTTTAGATTTACATGCTCTTCATGTTAGATTTCAGCATTGAGCCAAAAACAAATCCAGACATCGGCTGTTATTATCAAACCTGTGCCTGCTCATTGTTGCTCTGGACAGGTGATCATATGGTGCTGTGCAGCTCGATCAACCTATTGAGATCTAGAAATGCATTAAAACATTCAAACACACAATTCAGTTCTTTTTTTTTTCCAAATGAAAAAATAAAAATGTTATCTAAAAGGCAATAACAGCATTCTTTTAGTGAATATTTGATTATTTATAGCACAGGATGAATCTACAGCTAAGATAATATTTCCAACATCAACATGTGAAAAAGTTCAGCCATTTCGATAACAAAAGGTAATTACTAGAAGATATTTTTTTCCAAAATATAAACGGATGAAGCTAAACCTGCCACTTTAGGAGTTTGATGTAGAACATACTTAGACAAAAGGTTTTGTTTTTTGGGTTTTTTTCCTAAATGCAAAATGTGTATATTTTTTTGTACAGTTTTGGCTTAAAACAACATTCTGTGAACTTTATGGAATCCCACCTGAACTTTGTTTTTGTTAATAAAACTGAGAACTGTAGAATCTTCAAGGTCTTCTGCTATCAGTAGGTCTTGCAACATGCCTGAATCAACACACTCACACACACCTTTGTATCACATCCCAACAGCTTGACATGTGCAGACACTGACTGGTCCACAGTATTATCATCCAGCCAATTAGATTGCGGTGTGCCCCTAAGTTCAGCCTATTGTCCCAAGAAGATAAATATGTAATGTAATCTGATTACTTTGCATAAAGGGCCCAGCATTTACAACTTTACATGTGGTCAAGACTAAATTAGACTTGGACTTGTGAAAACTGACACTAACTTTCCTCGGGCTGCGAACAAAAGAACTGGGTGACAGAAAAAGCCAAACAAGTGAATGAAAGAGTTGCCAAAATGAATCCTCTCTTTTCTAAACAGAATGTGGCTGCAGTGTTTTGGTTTTGCACAGTTTAGTCCTGGAAAACCAAAAGCCGTCTGATTTTTTGACAGATGAATCTTAAATGGCTCTGGATGGGTGACGATTCGGCCTTGTTTTGCAGCCACAAAAGCTGAGCACCCTGCAGTGATTGAGTCACTCTTCAACGTCTCTTTTACAAACATATTTTGGAACCAAATGTGGAAAAACATGTCCTCTTGAATTTAACTGCTCTATTTTCTTTTGAATCTCTGCAGTATCTGCTGAGTGACAGAGAAGTCCAAATCAAAACTGCACTCTGGATGGCAGAAAATGCAGACTACCTAAAAGCGCAAAAAGGTACTGGAGGCCGCATGACTGATCAGCTTAGGGTGTGCAGAATTTTCTTTTTATTTAAATATATTGACTGATTTCATACATTGATGTACCTTTCACTTTTTAAGTCAGCTCTATATCGTTATCCAGTTACTGTTTACATTTGGAAATTTTGCACAAGCGCCCAACTCTGGAAGGCAAACAGCCTATTTGTTTACTTCATAGCCGGGATGCTTCAGTAGAACAATTTAATTGTTAAAATGAAGCCTGGACATGTAGGTGTTTTTAATTTAGTGCAGTGCGCCACCTGAAATGGAAAGTACCACAGAAAAACTGGTGAACAAAAAAATAACTCAATCACTCATATCTTTTTTCACCTTCCATTGGCTTTACGCTACTCACAGACCTGTTACCATAGCAACTGACAACAGCCCTATAAAAAATGTTTTACCAAAAAGATGTGAACATGTGAAGGTTTTCAAAGTCAAGCTAGCATAGCTGACCTACTTCATCTCCCTCTCTATTTTTCTTTTATTAACATTTTTTTACGAACCTGGAAAATGTGATATCTTTGGAGCTCTTTATCTAGCTGTCATTGTGTTGACAATTAATAGCAAAACTTTTTCTTTTGTGTATTGCATACATTTGTGATTTAGCGACATTTAGCCCGTTTTCTTGTTTGCAGAAAAGGAAGCAAAGATCCAAAAAGAGAAGGAACTTGGGATCTATAAAGAAAAAAAGGTAAAGCCAATCAGCCTGGAAATGTTTATTGTTGGAATTTCAACAGAAACACAAATAGCTGATAAATGAAAAAAATGTGAAGTAAAAAATGACAATTTGAAAGTAAAAGTCAGACGAAAGGGCAAAGGTGGGCTTTTATTAAAAGCTTAACTTTGCTGTACCTTATATATGTTTTTAATATTTAAAGTAATTGTGATTTCCAAATCTGCACTAAAAATACATTCTGAAAAGAACATGCCATTTACTTTGCAAAAGTAGAAAAAAAATTTACAAGTTGGATCAGGAAATCAGGAGTTGGTTTTCATTTCTACTAGAGACTGGCCAGTAGGAAGCCGAAAAATCAGACCTTTTCCTGATTGAAGAATGAACAACTGTGCAGCCAATTATGTCTTGTTAATGTCATAATAAAAGCCTGTTTTATAGCAACTCATCTCTCACAACACAGCAAGAAAGTAAGAATATTAATATTTTTTTCTTAAATCTGCTAATATAGTATTTCTTAAAAACATTGCATAGTGTAAGTGTGGTGGTAAGCCAAACCTTTAAAACAAAACAGAAAATATTTGAATGAAGCTTTAAAATATGCAAATGATTTGAGAATGAAGGGCTGCACAGTGGAGCAGTTGGTAGAGCTGTTACCGTGCAGCAAGAAGGTTCTGGGTTTGATTCCCGGCCTGGGAATGGAGTCCATGGAGTTTGCATGTTCTCCCTGTGCATGCGTGGGTTCTCTCCGGCTTCCTCCCACAGCCCAAAAACATGACTGTCAGGTTAATTGTCCCTAGGTGTGTGTGTGTGTGTGTGTGTGTGTGTGTGTGTGTGGGTCCAGGGTGACCCCGCCTCTCGCCTGGAACATTAGCTGGAGATAGGTACCAGCAACCTTCCCTACCCCACTAAGGGACAAGGGAGTACAGAAGATGGATGGATGGATTTGAGAATGAGAAGGTCATTCACCTCAGAGAATTGGGGATTAAATAAATAATTTTTAAAAACTCACTTCAAGTTGTCTGTTTTTTGTTTGTAAACCCTTTTGATAATTATGTATCACATTAGGTCCCAGTAAAATACATTGTGGTTATGTGCCAAGCTGTAGAAATGTTTATTTTGTTTGTCTGCTTCTAGATTAACAACTAATTGGGAGTGTTGTCATTGACAGACGTTTCAAATAATGTCACATTTTCTACACTTCAGTTTGTCAAGCGTAGGCTTCCTTTTTGTTTTGAACAGCCCAGACGGCCTTCAAAGAAGCACCCTGCCATCAGAGCCAGCACTGCTGATGAGGCCATTGAGAAGATGTTGGAGCAGAAGAAGATATCCACCAAGATCAACTATGACGTGTTAAAGGACCTCGTCGTGAAGCCTAGCAGCAGCCCGGCTGGTGCAGAGGACTCACCGAAGGTGGGGCCACCGGCCCCTAGGACGCCTGCCTGCACCCGCAGACCTGCGCCCACTAGAACCCCACTGAGCCTCAGCATGCCGCTCAGCACTCTGGGAAAACGGTAGGTTGTCCTGTTAGCTTAAAAATGTTGGAACATTTACTTTAAGATGTTCCTAACAAAACAGCAGGTATGTAAATTTGACAAAATCAGAATTGGAAGAGTTAACGTAAACGTACAGCTCGTTTACGTTGTTTTAAGTGATTTTCATGCTGCAGTATATGTTCAGGACACAATATCCAGGTGATGATGTTGGATCTTTGAGGAAAAGCAAGTAATCTTAGTATTCAGCAGTTAGGTCCACAAAAGCAACAAGTAGCACTAACTTGGAGAAGAGGCAGCACGTAGCCAGTACTTGTCATGGAAATATTCAAACAGCTGAGACATGGAGCAGTGGTTCCCAACCAGTTGTTCACCTGAGAGCCACAGTGTTTTTATTTCTGATAGTCCAGTAGACTCGGTTTGATTGGGAACTAAAGTTGCAAAATTGTCAAACTAACCAAAGCCTTTGAAAAACCTGTTCCCCTCCTCGCCTGTGGGGGCACTGCACCAAGAACCACTGAAGGAAACTGCATAAAAACCCCTAAAAAGGCATGAGCAAAACTTCTTTCTTCACGAAATGTAAACAAAAATGGAGTGGCATCAGATTTTAGCATCTGTAGGATTTCTGTCTTGTCTTTGGCTGAAGACCTCTCAGTATGGGTGCACTGATCGCAGTTTTCTGACAGATCGCCAATTACCAACCTTTTAAAAAACTTAACCTGTCGATTCTGATTTTGGCCGATACCAATTTTCTTTGTCTGAAATGTTGCCCAATATAGCAAGAAAGTTGTTGAGTTGGCAACAGCGGTGTGACTATCTTTGACTGCAAACGTGCAGACATATCCTGGTGTCAATCAAACTTTTCTCACTTGTTGATTGACACCAAAGATGTAACCTTTGATGTAACCTTTGTAACCTTTGCTACATCAAAAGAGGACAGTGGTTGACTCTTAGACCTTCGCCAAGGTAGATAAGATCGGATAAGATCAGCTTCAAATGTAAAAAACAGCTGATCATTGATCTCCCAAAATGAAGGAAATCAGCACAGATAAATTGGCTGGCCGAAAAATCAGTGCATCACTTTTACATCTCTATAGACCTCTGAACTTATTTTAAACACTTTTTCCAATACTAAAGACAACCAACTGAATTTTTTTTATCACAGCAGCAGGATCTGTACCAAATGGGAGGATGGAGGGTTGGTGCCAGTTCAGCCTTGTAGTGCTTACAAATGATGCATTCACCGACTGAAAGAAATTAAATATTTTAGCTTCCAGCTGGCCCCTCAGCAATCAAAGACGATCAATCTAAAAATTGACGGATTCATTGTCTTGTATTTGTGAATCTCTGAAAAATACAAAGTTAAGTTTGTAGGATCCTTCTGGAAAGGTGAGTAGAGTCAGTAGAGTTTATCAACCTTTGCTACATCAGGATGGTTGTTTTAGATTGTATTTCAGACAGCACTGAGTGCCTTTTGAATGTAGAACCCCATTAAATCTTCTCATCTCCTCTGGAAGGATTTCAGCTGTCCTTCGACAAAAATGCCATCTTGACTGTTTACTCTGTTTCTGCCAATGCTATAAGATTTTGTAGAATCAGTAGGTTATGTCAGAGGTGAGTGTGTCTCATAATTACCACTTTAGGCATATACATCTGCCGATAATTACATTAGCTTAGCGATCCTCAAACTATTAAATAATCTGTGTTGCTAACAGATAGCCAATTAAATCAAGACTAGATAGATGCCAGCTGTTTCTTTACTGCCACACCAGCCATTCCTCCTCTTCTGCTGCGCTCAGACCTAGATGTTTAATTTTTTTCCCTGGCTTCAATCTGTAAACACTAGAAAGCCCCACCTCGTCTCCTTCCGCCTGACTAAGATAATCAGCTGCGACAGGAGGACAGATGCTCGGTTTGCCTCTCCACTCCTGGGGATATTCCTTTTTTCTTTTTTTCTTTTTTTTTTTTACCATCTTCTCAAATCCACAGACACGATTTGTCTGCGGGTGTTGCTTTGACAACAAGCAATCACAGAAAAGATCCGCTCTGCTCGTTTCAGAAGAATTGAATCGGTGTTGGTTTACAGTACAGGAAAAACTAAAAGGTTTTCACTGTATTTGATTTTGGGAGGAATTGGTTTTCCTACATGGCTTTGTTTTCTAAAGCCCTTTGAGTTGATGCTGGTTTTGGGTGCCATCTTTGAACTGTCGTGGACCCCTGTAGGGGCAGCTGTTTGGTGATTAAGGGGATATAAAGCCCACTGTTGGCTCCGTCTCTCATCTTTTGGTTATTTCATCTCTTCATTGGTTGCTGTTTGCAGGGCCTTTGTAAAGCCGGTTCTCAATCATGATGTAGTGTTCTGTTTGGTCTCAGAGACGCCGAAGGATTTTGATAAGTCTGTTAAGTCTGCTGCAGTTTATCATGCTCTTTTTAGCACAAGCTACTTTTGTTGTTAGATTAAACACATTTATAAATCCTCCAGCAGACTTGGCATTTTACTGGCCTCTCCACAATGAGGAATTCAGAAATTCCACTAGATATATTTTAAGACTTAGAACCACCTTTATACAATACTTTAACAGATCCCAATAGTCTTGGATGAGTTCTAGATTTATGTCCATTTTGATCAGTCATGGTTCTATAACATGTAAGAATCCCTCAACAGCAAGTAACTTCAGCTTTCACGTTAGTGAACATGAATGCCATATCTACTGTCATCTGGTAGTCGCTGCCTGATTATCAACTTCTTTGTTCTATGTCTCTGTTAGGTGCAGTGAGAGTGAACACTGTGTTGGTGATCAGTGGAAAGGTTTGTGGATTGTTAAATTAGAGGAAAATGTGTAAAAAAAGAAAATACACTTCTCCTACCGCGTAGAAACAGACTTTTCAGCTCTCGACAAAGCACTGAAATTTGAAGGGCCCTGAACCAGTTCATGAATGAAAGATGTATTAATGTTTTCTGATCTGGAAACACTTTGAACTCCCCCAGGATGACCTGGAGAGTCTCAGTGTTTGGGGCCAGTTACAGTTGCAACCTGATGTTGGATAAGTGGAGACGGACAGACGGAAATCAAAAAAGCGTGTTGTTTGTGTGTGTATGTGTCATTTTTCCACGCCAAGTTGAGATCCTGGATAAGCCCTCAAGAATCGTCACTACACATTACAAATACTGGAGTTAAGAGACATTTCATTCAAGTCTTATTTTATTTTTCACAGTTAGCTCATTCTGAGTTTATCTTTCAAATATACCAGAGATTTTATAGTTAGTTATCTGAGGATGTGGCTACGAGAGTTTGTTGATATCTTTAAGTCTAATTTATTTAGATTTGTAGTCTTAAAGGATGAGCCTGTTTCTAATAAAGACCAGAGACAGAGACATGACTGCATTTGTTTGATTCTAAATATTTGACTTGGCTAAGTTGAGTGACAGCAGCTCATCCAATGCCGTCCAGACATCCTTCTTAACCGCCACACATCTATGTAATGAATACAGACAAATAATGACAGAAGCTATAGGGTAAAAAAAAACTGGGCCATTTGGATAAGATCCTTGTTTGATCCGCCAAATAAAACAAAATGCAGCCTAACCAACAATTAACAACGTTCACATTAAGTTGATTTTAGCGTGATAGATGGTTTCCTGAGGCCGCCGCCCAGTTTATGGCTGCTGAAGCCTCAAGAAGGCGCGCCTTGCTACCTAAAGGTTATGTTATCTTTCCTGCCGTGTTAGTCTTCACTCCCAAAACCTTACATGTTATTCACTCTTCCTGCTCTGTTTTACTGAACCCCCCCGGCACCACCTCCTCCATCTTACCAAGCTATTACCAGTTTTCAGCCATTGGCTAAACTACTTCCCTCAATCATCTTTTCAGCTCAGGCTGAGTGTCATTGGCAGTAAGCTGATTAGGAACGCACGGCTAAACCCAGCAGAGACTGAAAGCCCAACATAGCGTCTTGCCTGAGTGGATGGATAAAGCCGGCGACGGAGGAAAGGAAAGGGAGGGAAAGAGAATGTGCAGACGGAGTAAAATGGGGTGGACAGGATGGGAGGCTGATTAATAGTTTGGATATCATTTTGTGTCACGGTCCATCTCTTTGGGTAATTAATCTACGGTATATATTTTAACTGCAGTTTAAAGATGGGTTAATGAGATCGGGGAGAAACTGCTGTTTGCTGATGTATAAGGAAGAATTCAACACGATGTGCAGTGTTAAGAAAGACAAACCTGGATAGTAGGCTAAATAGATCCGTGTGTTTTACTGTAATGAATGCTAAGTGGCTTACAGTATAGCCTGAAGATGTGAATTAATATAATGGCTACATCAGAGTCATATTTAAATGTGGCTTAAGATACACAAAGGAAACAATTCCAGCTGTCAGGGAGCAAATGGTTTCTGTCTTTAATTATTACCATGGTGAAATTAGACAGTGTTAGGCATGGACTGGTAGGATGTTCTTATTGTGTGATAACCAGGAAAGGCTGCGGTTATTCATGCTGCTGCTGGAAAGATGACTTACTGATTCTTCCAGTTTAATGATAATATTATAGAATAAGCTCTGGACTTGAACAATGGAACGTTTCTGACATATTTTTGTTTTTAAAAAAATAACTTTTTAAATCCTTGGCATAAGTTTGATATGTATGACAGCATGTTAGGGCTATTGTAGATAGAAAAAAGGATTAAATTTCCATCAGAAAACTGAAATTTGAGATTAATCTCAGAAATTTTCCAAAAAAATTTTTTTTTAAATTTCTGAGTTTCAAAACTCAAAAACATTTTTTTTTTCCAAGAAAATTTCTGAGATTAATCTCAAATTTATGAGTTTTTTGTGTGTGTTGTGTATTTACATTACATAGTGAATATACATACTTGTGGTTATAATGTGCCTGAATGTGAAAAGGGTTACAGGGTGTGAATACTTTCAGAAACGTAAATAAACACATTGCTGCGTGCGTGGCTTGTTGTTCAACTGCATGTGAGCTACAATTTTCTTCTCCACTTTTCAAGAAGCATTCTCTGAGTGAACCCTGTTGGATTTCCATTGAGCAGCGCTGGTTCTCCATATTTAAGTTTCAGTGTTTTGGACGTCGTCTGAAGCATTTGGAACTGGTCGACCCTGGACAGACCGGGTTGTACTAATGTCTCCACATGCTGAGATCAAGAGGTAGGAAAGACCTCAGTGAGAACACTGCTCTCTATTGTACTCTGCTGGAGGGAGTGATTTATCTGTACTATGTCGCCTGCTCCACTGACTGAGAGTCACTCCCTGCTATTGTGAATGGTCGCCATAGTGATAAAAGGCTGCCAAGAAGTCTGCCACCGCTAGCCTGGCAACACTGCTGATGGCCTTTTGATCTTTGACCTCCTCAGTGGACTGAAGGGAGCTGATATTAATGACTGCCGTCACACAGACAGAAATTAGCTTCACTGTGAATAAATATTATGACAGAAAGTGGAAAACCTTTGCCAGCAGATCTGTGTTGTTGAGGATTATCACTCCAAAGTTTGGAGCCTGAAGGGTTTAAACCATCCAGTAAAAATACTTGAAGTTTTCTCACATCAAACAATATGAAGTGGCAGTGAGTTGTATTGTTTTTTTTTCCCTATTAAGCAAAGGTTTCCTTTTGAGAGACACAATTTATATTCTGAGAACAGCCACAGATGTGTGTTTGTCTCATACTTAGTGGTGGATCTTTATTGCTGGTTGGTTCTTCTGATCCAAACAGAATCAGCAAATCGGTTCCTTTCTACCTGAGTTTTGCTACCTGACATCTGGCACCATCCTCACCCTAAAGACGTGTGCTGCTCCTTTTTTAACATATTCGTCACACTTAGTCTGTTCTATTAATTTCTTATTGATGATAATTGGATTCAAAACTCATTTCATCTTCAGGCGTGTCTCTATCTGACCTTTTAAGTTCTGTTTGCGTTGACAGTCCACACCATGAGGTTTCCACCTGCAACCTTCACTTTTGGCATGTTCGTTTTGGGGTGATGTGCAGAAGCTTTCTTCTCGTAAATGTGGCTGTTAGCTGTAAAGTCCTAAGAGTTTAACTTTAGCATTATCCAACAAAACTATTTTCTCCCAGTATTTCACTGGCTTCAAATCTTCAGGAGCAAGCTTCAGATGTTCTTCAGCAGAATTTTCCTTCAGCAGTGGAGTCTTGTGCAGTGGTTGTGCATAAAAACTATTGAAGGATTGGCTTGTTTGTAATCCCATTCATACACTCTGATCAGCTTCCCTGTCCCAGCATAAAGATGCTGCCCCCCACCGCCATGGTGTTTTCTGGATGTTTGAGTTTTCTGATGATAGAGTTTAAAACTTCCAGTATCAGCTCATTGTTGGATGACAGAGGCCAAGTGTCTCTGTTATTGCAACGCAGTTACAGGAAAAGTGCCATAGTTTGGGCAGATGTGAATGAGCCGGTTTAGACTTTGAATAATTCAGTTTCCTAGTACAGATGATATCAAAATATAGATTTTTTTAACAACCATACTCCCAACCCAATTGGTAAACCTTGGGTCATATAGGTGGATTCATGGGAACAGCCAGTTATCCAAACCGTTTCTGACACGACTTCACCGACTCCCAAAGTGCACAGAGAAAACTAAAAATCTGTAAAAGATGAACCGACAGATTACTAACCCCACAACTCCCAGACTGACTTTTACTGCCCTCCCAAATTTCCTTCTAATATACTAGTACTGTATTTTTGTTGTTGTTGTTGTTTTTTCCTCCCACTAAGATAATTTTTAACTTAAAATGGTAACAGTGTAAAGTTGGCTGGTCATCTTGAAACAAGGTAGTGCAGATGATACTACCTTCAAGTTCTAGGTAACAACTTTATTGAAAGACCAATGCAGTTCAGCTGTGACCTTCATGGAGGTCACAAGTCAAATTGCGTCATTGGTCTTTCAATGGAGTTGTGTGCACCATGTTTAAAGCTCCAGAGTTTTGTTTTTGATCAAACCCATGGATCCATCACTTTTACTGTCACTTCTTTTCTTGACCTATCTGTGACCTCTGCCTGCATTTTGCAGATTTGCTTTTTTGCTTTTCTGCCTCTACCAGTCACCTACAGTCCCTCACCTTTCCCCTCCTTGACAATGTCCAGCTCAGACCACAGGGGAGTTGCTCTTGTCTAACACATGTGACCTGAATATTTCTCTCCGTAGTGAGTGGTCCACCACCTTGTCTGGGATATTATAATAAGGTTTGAGAATGAAGGCGGGTAGCGTTGGGGGTGAAGATGAAACATTCCCCGCTCTCCCATCCCTTTACCCTGGTTACAGCAGATTAATTAAAAGCTCACTCGCACTCTCCGTCTTATCAGTGAGAGTTGAGCTCGGCACCCGGCTGGGTGGGCATGAAAGAAGGTGGGGAGCCCCCGGGAGTTATGTTAATATCAGCCAGCGTGGTGGGATTTCTACTTAGGAATTACCGCCAGTGGTAAATTCATTGCTGATTATCTCTTGGGGGCTGTCTAAGAAAAGATTTCCTTCTCAGAGAGACATGTCACTCAAAGTTGGGTCTGAGCTCCTTCTCATTCACACCATTTCACTGTCATTCCAGGGACAGGAGCTAGGTGCTTGGAGACAATAGAGATTTAGAGAGTGTAGGACTCTAACAACATTATTTGCTGGCTTTACCTTGCAAATCAACTAGATTGTCCAGAGTTTCTGTAGATTATGAATGTAAAAGAATAAATGTATAACTAGCCATAGCGCAGGCCAAGATTTGTGGCCAAGACACAAACATTTGGACCAATTTGGACCAACTGAAATCTGTGTTTGGTTTTCAGTCAACATGAAGCTCATCTTGTCTACCGGAGTGCCTTGTTGAGCTACTCGTCATTTACGTCTTGATTTCCAAAGACTTTTATAGATGAAAGGTTGAGACTGCAGTGCCTCGCATACACCCCAAACATTTTCCTGTTTCTCACAATACAACCAGAAACGTCTGTATGTTAGATTTGGACTTCATATAATAAACTAAGAGAAAGGACAGTCAGTGCAAGGAAAAGGAAAATAAATAATTTCAGGGACAACAGAGCTCATTAAAGTGTGTGTGGGTTTAATTTTTTTTTTAAATGAAGAATGTAGTTTAATAGTAGCAATAGTCTTCAGAAGCTAGCTAGCTAACTTAATAGATCCCTTCCCTAACACTAATGCTTGAATCTCAACATTAATATAATAAGACAAATTAAACTGGATTCATTTTGTTCACATGGAGCCAGTTCATGGGATTCACATTTTTAGCCATTACATTATTTTCCTCCTGTGTAAAGATCAAAAGCGTAATTCAATTTAGATTTTTCTGATTCTACGTCTTTAATCGTCATTGTGTTGCAGACTGCAGCCGTTCATCAGCAGACAACCCAACAAGAAGCTGGCTGTGGAGCAGGTGAGCTTCCTGTTCATTTGCTCTGCACCTAATATATCACTTTCTGTAATACTTCACTCTCAGAAGGCCGACAATATTTTGGTACAGAGCACGTCATCAACCGCATCAACTCCACCCCCTAAAAATAACCCCACATAAGTATAAACTGACCAAAAGATCCTGCTAAAAACAAGTTAAGTTTTAGGTCAGATAAATGTTTTATTTAAATATTCACGCAATATCAACATTTTGAGATTTTCATTGGAGTTCTCCTTTAAGTTAAGTGGAATTTATTTAGTGATCATGTGATTTCTGAATGCAACTGGTTTCATCAGGATCATAATACTGGACAACAGCCAACAAACTGTTTTTTTAACTGTTTTAGGGCCATTTTGATTAGCTGAATCCAAAAAATCACTTTGGTTTTGCGATCAACTTTCTGAATTATGGAGCAACATCAGCATCAAAATGCATGACTTGTTCTGACATCTGGATCGGTTTCCTGAGAATCTGATCAATGAGTGATGAGCAGGAGGAGAGATTCCATCAGGACAGAAAAGAGACGGAGAATTTTATACAATGAAGACGAAATGTTCAATTTATATGTACTTACCCTTATCAGTGTTTATTATTCAGTTTATAGAAATCCAAGTTTGTAGCATTTAATTAATACACTGTTGAAAAGAAAAAAAATTTTCGCCTAAAATCTTTTTGGGATGAGAAATATGAATGGAAATTAACTGATTATGTCACAAAAAATGTAATCAGTTTAGTCAGAAGGTCAGATTTCTCTAAATCAAATTAAAATAAAAACCTGATTGGGAAAAATTAATGTCATTTTTTGATTCAGCGCTGCAAAATAATCCCAATTCAGTTGAGAAAACATAGACAACTGCCAATTAACCCTTTGGTATGAACACTTGTTAGCTTAACTAATACAATGGGAAGACCTAGAAATACAAAGAAAAACTCACTTTTTGAACTATGAAGAAAATTAGTATTCCAAAACTCTGATTAATATCTCCTTTTTTCATTCAAGTAAATGATTTGCTAGGGGGGTTTTATCTAAAAAAAAAAAAAAAAAAAAAACTCAGGTGCTGAAGTCATTTACTGTAATAAGGTGAAAGATGTTGGTCACATTACAACGCTACATTTAGCACATCTACCATCTCTGCTGTAGTGCCATGTCTTTGTTTGACTTAATCATATGAGCCACTAAACTGGTGAAAATAATCAGCATCTCTTCCTGATCGTTTGGTCAGACTAAAGCCCCTCCCCCCAAGGAAGCGACTGCAGAGGCCCCTCCCAGTGCAGCTGTTGTCGAGAGTGGACCCGTCCTGTATGACGATGTAGACGAGGAAGAGGATGAAGAGGAGGAGACCTGTGTCAGTGCCATGGAGCTGCTGGGCGGCGACGGTCAGTTTAAACACATAGCAGGTGTTTACCTTAGAGAGCGCATGGTGAATAAATGTAGTTAGTTGGTACTTAAATATGTTTTTGTTTTTTAAACAAGTGGTACCATATTGTCAATTTTCCAATGCTTTCTCATCACTAATTTTTATAACAAGATAAGTCTGGAGAACGTCAAACGTCTTCTCATCAGATCTCTGAAATTTTATTTCAGCAAAAAATTAAGAGTTGAGCATCGAGACCTGCTGTGTGAATGTAGCCGATCTGTCATTTAAATGCCTTTAACAAGACAAATGGGTCCAATGCATACATTTTGAGTTTGAGATTCCAGTTAATAAAATGTAACCTAAGGCAGTCCAGCTCGTTGCACTGAGTCACTGCAGCGGTTCCTCATACTGAGAAAACATGTTGTGAAAGTGGAAAGGAAGAATTCCCTTTTAACAGGAGGAAACCTCCAGCAGGAATCTGATTCAGGACCACATGTGGGAGTGACTCAAACCTGACTCAAAACAATCAGATCTGAACCAGAGGGAAGATAAACTCAACCCTGAATCACCCACTCACTGCATGGTCATTTCTTTTTTCCCCTCTGTCTCTCCCTCTGTCCAGGTTATGGATGTGATGGGGATTATGATGATGGATACTAGCCGCATCGTCCACCTGGCTCATCATTCCCAGCCGGCCTTGGAATCCGAAGTTGTAGCCGACCTTCACTAACAGGAACCTAAAACAAGCTGCTAAGGATCGGACACAGGAGTAGAGGTTTACAGAACGCCGTGCTGCTTTGACCTGGTGATCGGATGCTGGCGGAGCGTGGTTATAATGCTGCTCTTTGAACGGCCCACTGGATTGTTTGCAGGATGGACTTTTGTATTTTTTTAACCTGCAGAAACAACCTTTCAGGAAGATCCACCTCCAGTCAGAAAGACGCTGAGACTGTTCTGGACTTGTTGCTCCTGTACTACATCACTCCTGAGACCTTCCATCCAGATCTGTGTTGGTTTTGTTTTGTGATTAGTTGTTCTCATTACCTTTTGGATGGAAGTTGAAACGGAATAACCTTCCCCTGTTTACCTTCTGCTGAAGCTGCATCATAACATCTTTATATGGAAGTAACATCTGATTCAGGTTCTGTGTTGCTTCCAATGTCCTTTGGAGGGCTCAGAAAGCTTTCAAATTAGAAGTTGGAAATACATTTTTGTTAATATATTTTGCATTATGGAGTTTTGTCAGGGCTGAGATCTCTTTTTGAATGATTGCATGTTAAGGTGAGTATTATTTTTGCTGAATTGACAGAGCAGTATTCTTGAAGTGATGACTGTGATTATGTATCTATGTAGTACATTAAAGACATCACTAACTGGGAGCCGTGCCTTTCTTCAAATAACTATAACATCTGAGGGAGAAGGTGGAGGACATTGATCTTTTCACAGATTGTCTGTCTGATGGCGTACTGTCACAACACAGTGTTTGCTTTAACAAATATTTAAAAAATGTTTTATTGAAAAGCTACTTACTGTAGCTTTCAATCATCTGAGTCAGCTAAAGAAAATCCATATTTTGTCAATTTGTGGTTTGACATGCTTAGTTACAATGACATAAAGTTAAATACCCATGGTTCACATTAACTGGGCTGGGTCTCCATGCTATAAGCAGATCTGAAGGACCAGATATCCAACCCAACCATACAAGAATAAAGACCAGAATAGGAATAAAAAAACATCTTTTCTCAGTGAGTTCCACTCAAATGAACTGTTCTAAAAATTCAAGCACTCTTTTTAAATCTGGGAAACATAACATTACCAAACTGTGCAGGAAATTAAATATAAAAATCTATATAGTCTTAGTCACTAATTCCTTCCCAAAATATGCTCCTCAATCCCAGAATTGACTGGGATTGCTGAAGTGGCTCTGCTGAAAAAAGCTGACAGTTCCTACAAAAGAGACACTGTTTGGGAGGAAGAATACCTAAAATATAGCAATTTCCTTTTCCTACTCCTGTTTGGAAACCTGAGAATGTTTCGTCTGTGCAGTTGGGATAATTTGGCTAAAGCTGTTGATTATCATCCACAAATGTTGGTCCAAAATGGCAGCAAACATCTGGAAAAGTGAACCAAACCACAAGCGCCTATACTCATAGAATCTGGGGTTACAATACGTAACCAACGTTCCGTTCGGAGGGTTTCCAGAGATCCTGGGACTTTTCCTCCGTCTCTGTGTTGTTTCAGATCAACCTGCTGTTCCTTCCGCTGCCGCCAGAGGGCAGTGGATGAGTCATTCTCACTGAACTGAGGATTTGCTGTTGACTGTGCTTTGTCATCAGGACATCGAAAACATTTAGTTTTAATATGCTGACATTACTTTTCTCATGGCATACTCTTAAAAACATAACATTAACTTGATCTTATAAATAAACAGTCAGTGCTTTTATTGTTTCCACATCCTCAAACCATTACCTGCCTCATGTTGTTCAGTTCAACAACACCCAGATGGAGGAAGGAGGTGGTGCTGAAAGCAGCTCTGCTCTCCGGTGGAGCAGGTCAAACAGAAACAGGAGGCGCGGCCCGCAGCAGCTCTCCAATGGCTGCATTCCCTCTGACCTCCGTTTTTTCTCCTTCATCTCAGATTCCTTTTCTCCTGCAACTGAGACAAAGATACAGAGGTGTAATTAAAGGACGTGTCTGATTTTTATCAGACAGGTGTCGTTTCATCTTTTATTTCTTTACATTGAGCTTTTTGTAATAGTTTTGGGTGTTTCTAATTGACTTCAGTTTCTGTTTACATTTTCACAGAAAGATCAAAAAGCAAGTTAAATGCAAAAATGTATTCATACTTTATCTTTTTCTTCCATACTAATTAAGATCTAGAAAATATTTGTAATTGAACTCCACACTTTTCAAAACTACAAGCAAAACAAATTTTGGAAGGCTTTCAGAAAATGTAGTTTTTCCTCCAAATGTAATGATGGTCATTATGGTCAAACGGTTTCATCAGACCACAGAACATCTCTTCAAAAATAAAGATCTTTATCCCTGCATCTGCAAACTGCAATCTGGCTTTTTATGTTTCTTTTGAAGTAAAGGCTTTTTCCTCGCTGAGTGGCCTTTCAGCCCATCGTTGGGCCAGGACAGTTTGTCTGTGGATAATGAATCTGTCTTGTCAGCTTCAGCAGCATTTCCACAACATGTTTGGCTTTTCTGTGGTCTGTGTACTCATTTTGGACAAAAACCCATTTAACTCTAGGACACAGGACCAATCAAACATAACAGGTTTTCTTCTGAATTTGAAGAAAGTAAAAAAAAATTTATTTAGGAACGTTATTGCTAAGCTTTCTGACATTAACAAATAGGAATAATTGATCAAAAACATGAGAAGTTCTGATTTAACTTCAGGTAGAAAGAAACGTGTTTGTCTCTTGATTCTGTGAATGTAAACTTCTGGTTTCAACTGTATCTTCTGAAAGAAGAAAAAACAAAGTTTGGTGTAATATTTGTGAGAATGTGTGTGTTCTGTAGCTACATGTCCTCTGTACAAGGACTTACAGGTCCAGTTTACAGTCGACAGGACGGAAACTCTGCAGGCAACTCGAGTTCAACCAGAAAAGTGAGTTCCTAATGAAACAGATTGTTGCCTACATAAACACACACAAAAACATAAATCCAGAAAATAAAAAAAAAGACTTTTGCTTTCTAAAAATATAGGAGTGCTTCTCCTCAACTAGTCTTAATCTCTTGCCTTTTAAAATTGCAGTGATCTGGTATCAGTCTGATCTGTTGGTGCTGGATGCCTTCTCTGCTTTTTGTACATTTTATTATTTTTTCACCCTTTTTTATTATTATTATTCTTTGAACATCTATCATCTCATAACTCCTACCTCTCCTGTTTGGCTTCTTGATGGGCTAAAATTCAACAGTGTTGTTGGGAAATGCAAATTTCCAGTCTGAGAACTCAGTCTTAAATAAACAATAAAATTGGTTACATGAGAAATGCAAAAATTCATGGATGATATCTTCATAAGTCAGTTTTCAAGGAAGACAGATTGTGTAAATATGGATATTATTTAGAATTGTCCAAAATGTAATAGAGACAACTGGCAAGTTTATTAAATAAATAAATACATACTGACAAGCATTAATTACACAGAAAATGTAAGAAAATATTTAATAAAATAAAAAAAAATATGCAAATGAACACAGATATAACAAAATGACTAAATAGAAATGAAATGTAGACAATGGAACGAGCATAAGAATACAGAAGGCTTACCTATAATGGAAACATTCAACGTGTAAAATGTCATTTCAACTTTTACATTTTTGTACTTAATTTATTTTTATTGCGCATTTATTCAGTATAAACTTTCATCACTGAAAAATAAATACAGATTAATTTAGTTTTAAACATGATATGCTTGTAACTATACGAAGCAAAAAATATGGTGAAGCAAAATCTTTGGCGAAAACACCAGCGGTGTTGTTAAAGGTTTATTTTTGGTTTCCAAGGTAACCCGGTAACCCCGCTCACTCCAACCAATGTTTGAACTGAAGTTACATTGTCCAATTAGGAACCGTTTACAATTTAAGTGAAACCCTTTTCATCCAATGGCGTGTAGCAACCGTTAAGCAACGTTCCCACCCACCTCCTAGGTTTATAATCCTCTGCGTGGAGTAGCGCACCAACTTTGCCTGTTCGTGAAGCGTCACAAAGTCTTTATTTCGACAAAATGAGGGAAATCGTTCATCTTCAAGCTGGCCAATGCGGGAACCAGATTGGAGCCAAGGTTAGAAAGTATTCATGCTTGAAACTTCGGCCTAAATTCGTTGGGACACCGACTGAAATATTACTTAGTTTGTGCGCGCTGCTAAATAATCAACAGCTTGCTCAGCAGGAAAAATGCTAGCGTAGCTGTTAGCTGAAAGGCTATTCATAACTGTTGGCTTGCGTTGTTTTCAGTAAATCTCTCTGCTCAATTAGTTAATTTAATATTTTTCTTCTCTTTTTGGTTGTAGTTTTGGGAGGTGATAAGCGACGAACACGGTATTGACCCAACCGGGGTATACCACGGGGACAGCGACCTTCAGTTGGACCGTATCAACGTGTATTACAACGAGGCGTCAGGTTGGTTCATAGTTTGCCTCATAGTTGTATAGTATTACTTCATTGGAGGTCCAAGTAATTCAATATCTCAAAGAAACATTTTAGTACCACGACCGTCCACCAGAGGGCCTGGACTTCACGTCAATTCAATGGTTACTAGTTAGCTGTTGCTAACGGCGACTATTAACTTTAGGAAGAATTGTTGCTAACCTTTTAGTTGTTGGCAACAGATAATCGGTTGCTACAACTTTTCTCCCACATGTTGCGCACACTGGCTTTTATAATTAGAGAAAATAAATTATTATTGCAGTTAATGGAGAAAATGTTTTTCTTTCTATTTTTTTATACTTTAGTCCAATTTACTTTTGTCCCCTGTAGGTGGAAAGTATGTCCCTCGTGCTGTTCTGGTGGACTTGGAGCCGGGCACTATGGACTCTGTGAGGTCTGGTCCTTTTGGACAGGTGTTTAGGCCTGACAACTTTGTTTTTGGTGAGTGTATTGCTTTAGCATATTTGCATTTTATTTACATAGAGCAGCCACACAAAACTGGAAGACTGTCTTTTTTTGTATTAAAAAAATCCACAGAGATTTTTTTTAATACAATGTTAAATATGATGCAGGTGAACTGGAAACAAACTATTATTTCTGTTTTGAATGAGGCTGAAATGGAAAAGAATCCTTTAAACTCACTAACAGATCTAATGTTGACCAGAAAGGCGAGGAAACAGGAAGCAGTCTGAAGGAAAACCACTCAATTTAGTTCAAGTTTAAGAAATCTGGATCAAAGATGCAGTTATAAAACTAGTCAAATCTTTACAGTGAACTTTGACAACTAAGTCATGATAGTCCTAATTAAGTCTTTATTCTCTGAATATTCTCTACTTGGGTCTGTTCCAGGTCAGAGCGGTGCTGGTAATAACTGGGCTAAGGGCCACTACACTGAAGGAGCCGAGCTGGTGGACTCGGTGCTGGATGTGGTGAGGAAGGAGGCGGAGAGCTGCGACTGCCTGCAGGGCTTCCAGCTCACCCACTCCCTGGGAGGAGGCACCGGCTCCGGCATGGGCACGCTCCTCATCAGCAAGATCCGGGAGGAGTATCCGGACCGCATCATGAACACGTTCAGCGTGGTGCCGTCACCCAAGGTTTACATCTGGCATTCAAATCGGTTCAGATAAGATGCTGTGCCTCATAGCTGCTTCCTCTGGGTCTTTAACTAGGCTCCATTGTTCTCTGTAACCCCGCCCCCTCCTGACAGGTGTCAGACACCGTGGTGGAGCCCTATAACGCCACCCTGTCCGTCCACCAGCTGGTGGAGAACACCGATGAGACCTACTGCATTGACAACGAGGCGCTGTACGACATCTGCTTCCGTACGTTGAAGCTGACCACGCCCACCTACGGCGATCTGAACCACCTGGTGTCGGCCACAATGAGCGGCGTCACCACCTGCCTGCGCTTCCCCGGCCAGCTGAACGCCGACCTGAGGAAGCTGGCCGTCAACATGGTGCCGTTTCCCAGACTGCACTTCTTCATGCCGGGCTTCGCCCCGCTGACGAGCCGAGGCAGCCAGCAGTACAGGTGAAGACTCTGCGTCCAGCCTTAGATTACGATCAACACCACTGTTTTAGAAACTTCCTTTTAACTGAAGGTCTGTCTTCCAGGGCCCTGACAGTCCCTGAACTCACCATGCAGATGTTCGACGCCAAGAACATGATGGCGGCGTGCGACCCGCGCCACGGCCGCTACCTGACGGTGGCGGCCATCTTCCGTGGCCGCATGTCCATGAAGGAGGTGGACGAGCAGATGCTGAACGTTCAGAACAAGAACAGCAGCTACTTCGTGGAGTGGATCCCCAACAACGTGAAGACGGCCGTCTGCGACATCCCGCCACGCGGCCTCAAGATGGCCGCCACCTTCATTGGAAACAGCACAGCCATCCAGGAGCTGTTCAAGCGCATCTCGGAGCAGTTCACCGCCATGTTCCGCCGCAAGGCCTTCCTGCACTGGTGAGTACAATGCAGTGATTCATAGCGGCGTGCTGTACATCATATAGACACTGACGTTGTGTCGTCGCAGGTACACTGGCGAGGGCATGGACGAGATGGAGTTCACCGAGGCAGAGAGCAACATGAACGACCTGGTGTCTGAATACCAGCAGTACCAGGAGGCCACGGCAGAGGAGGAGGGAGAGTTTGAAGAGGAGGGAGAAGAAGACCTGGCCTAAGCAGCCGCCATGTTGTTTTTCCTCCTGATCTGCAGTTACAATCAGGAAGCTTTTAGGTCAAAACACTGAAGTTGTGCTAAACAGCAGCAGCTTTACTGCTACTGAGATTGAAGGATTTTCTCAGGCTCAGCTTGAATCATGTTAGATTTTACATTAGAACTAATTCTGGAATATACATATTTTAAATGTGTAAAGCTGACTCTACTAGTGATGTTAAAGTGTAACTAACCCCTGTTAGAAAGCATCAAAGCAGGCAGAGCCAAAAGACTGAGCCAGGTGTAGGGCTGAGCGGTAAGCCTGGTATATTAACATATTTTGCTGAATGATAAATCACCTAGAAGTTATTGCGATAAACAATTATATTCTTGTTTTGAGACCATTTTCAAGTAATATGAGATTGGCATTATGCAAGAACACATCTTCAAATTTCATTAAACTTTAGCTTCTAATGAATATTTAACACTGGATTTTGAAGACATTTTAAATATTCGAAATAAATAAAACAACCAGAACTTCAAATAAAATGGATGCTGAAGTTTCTGTAAACAAAATTACCTTTTAAAAAAAAAACAGGCTAGTTTAGACCAAAGCACCAGACTGAAGAGTTTTGTATAAAGAGACACAAGAAAAACAATCATGTAAATGGAAATTATTGAGCTTATTTTAATTTATCATGTGACGAATTGATTTATGTCAACAGGCCTGGTGAGCGCCGCTGTGGTCAGGATGACAAACACTTGACTTATCCAGTTTCTTGCCTATTTATTGTTTTGTTTGTTCCTCTTCAGCCCCCTAATATAGTGACAAATGTAGGGAGTTTTGTGTGTTTCAACATTCAACTGAAGGACCCGAGCACTGAGACTGTTTTATGTAGAATATCACAGAACTAAACAAATTTACATGATTTATTGAAAAACATAAAGAACCCTAAATCGCCTATTTAAACAATTTATTAAGACAAGAAAGTTGATTTGGGGTTAGTTACACTTTAAACCTTTCTGTTCTCTGTCTGTGAGCTGATTGGTTTTTGCTTTGCTAGTGGGACTGAGTAGAACGGTTCCATTAGACCCGACTCATGTTCACTGTTCATAGAACTTTCCTCCAAGCTGCTGGTTACTTCCTGTTACACTGACTAGTTCTACATAGTTACTGAGGTTAGTCATTTTCTCTGGAAAACATATTTAGGGTTAGTTCACTGATTGCACTACAACACTGGAAATGACTGTCAGTCTCTGTTACTTTTCTGCTTTTGTTCATAGATTTTGAATAAACTTTCAACTTGGTGCTGAACTGTGTATCATGTGACGAATTGATTTATTTTGACAGGCTTGGTGAGCAGGGCTGTGGATCAGTATTTTGGTCACTTATAGAAGCATAACAATTTTTTAACATTCTCAAAGGTTCTGGTGCCGTCAGTCTCTGCAGTCCAACATTCAGCTGTTACCCCACAGGGCTCAGTCTGTTCAGACGTTCAGCCTTCAGCTTCTGATTTGCTGTTAGATAAGCAGAGCTGTCAGTTTGTAGATGTCATATAATGATAAAACAAATTGCCAGTCAAATGAACCCTACAGGAAGTTGAGCTTGACTCTGAAATGTAGTGAACTGATTTTTTTTTTCCTCCAAGCATTCATAAGATATTTTTAAATCTGTAATGAATGTTTGTACTTCTGAAAATTGACTTGAATGGATTGAAAACTCAAGTCAGAGTAAATGCAGGATCCTCAGTAACAGTTAACTGTAAATATGTTCCCAAGAAATGCTACAGAGCCTGACTAGCATGTTCTATTTATCTATTTTCTACATGCAGACAGTAAACAAAGCTGGAGACACCAGGTTGATGGTGTCAGAATCTCCATTTTAAAAAGGGGAAAGTGACAAATTTAAAGCCTCAAAACTATTTTCTGTTGCAGTTAATTTTTCATGTAGCGATGGTTGTGATTCACCAAACTGTACTGATGATTTCTCTTCTGTTAGTACATAATCATTTGATATGTGAAACAAATTTAAGTCTTTGGGGATTCAGTTATAAGGAGTTTTGTTGTAGCTTAATGTTTGGTGACCTGGAGTTGATGAACATGAACTGAAGATTGGATGTTGAACATAAATATGAATTATTAAACATAACAAACTGAACTAAATTCTATCTTTAAATGAATCAGAACTGTGGCTTCTAAATAGAAATTGACAATTAGTTGAAAAACAACCATCCAACAAAGTTATGAAAGGGAAGAAAATACAGACACATGACGTTCAAGAGGGAATTAATATGACAGCCAGGATCCCACTGAGCATCCTCTGTAGGGTGCAGGTATCCAGGAAGAGTACCAGCAGAAACTGCTTCTTGTAGCTTTCTGTTATGATCAGATCATCTGGGTACGTTTCACCAACTGCTTCTTGTTCCAAAAATATCATTTTAATGCTTCTGCAGCACCACCATTTAAATAAAAGGGAAACAAGGGGTCAAGTGCTCTTCTGAGTGAAAACTTCAGAGTACTTGAAGAGGATCCTTCTTTTCTCACAGCTCCATTTGCTATGAGAAAAATGACTGCAGCGATAATAGGTGTAACTTTGAAAGATTCAGAAAACTAGAGTTTCTGAGTGAGTGAATGAATAAAGTAGAGAAAAGATTATACCAATTTACTGAACAGGTTATAGCTGATAAAGCTTTTAGGATGATGCACAAAATACCTACTTTCCTCCATGTTTATCAGCCTTTTCAAAGCAGTTTTATGTATGTCGCCCTGATTACTCTGGTAGTCTTTAACTTACTTATAAGTTTCTAAGAAACACTAGACTAGAAGTTGCTGATGGCCAAACGAAACTCCGTGCAGCTTGTGTTGGAAAAACGTTCATTACTCGAAGCTTTTCAACGCTGTTCCCTTTACTGACACCTGGTGGCCAAAAGTATGAAGAGCAGCTTGAATCTACTAATGTGGATTTCCATGAGTCAGGTTTTTTCTATATAAAACTTGAAATCAATTCTTACAATTGGTAATAAGTAAATGTGTTAAAATCGGGTCAAATTCTTCCAGTGACTGCTGTTTACTGTATTTTCTTGATCTCCTAAAGCCACAGCAGGTAGGAACTGACATTAAAACAACAAAGCTAGTTTATGAACAAGATGTTTCACTTTAACATAAACTGTTGTTTCTGTTTCTCGAACATTTTAGTTAAAATGAACCTGTTCTTCTTTCAGTGATGTGACTCACAGTGACTAGTATCCTGGAATTACCAATACTCCATGTTAACATTCCTCAAGTACAAGTAAAAAATACGTTTTATTAAAACTACTCCCTGAAGTCAATTTTTTCCAAAACGTTACTCAAATAAATGTAACTATGACTGACTCACCTCTGGTTGACGAACAGATTCTTTCACCTCAGGTGTAAATCTCCCTGGTAACCAGCTCCTCCCTGGTTACCACGGTTTGCCTCTCTGATAAAAGCTGTCCCATCAGTCTAGGTGGACCTCCACCTTCTGGTAGGTCTGCAGCTGTTCCACCCTCTCTCCATGTTCAGATGATGGATTGATCAGAGATGTGGGATTTGTTCCAATCTGCCTGTTGTTGTAGATCCTAACCCTGATTTAAACTTCTCCCTGGTCTGTTGGTCTCCATGTTGTTCTCTAATGTTCTCTAACAAACGTCTGAGGTCAGAAAACCAACAGCTGGATTCTCTTTACTAATCATGTGACTTCTGACAGCAGTGGCTTGTTCTGGATTTTATTTAGGGTTATCTGAATAAAGGGAGGATCATGATTACAGTTTAGTGTTAATGTGTTGTTTTGCCTGTTTCATGCATGATCAGAGGATTTATGGTGAGCCCCCCTCTCTCTACCCTGGAATGTTCTCCTGCTGGATTACTGTGTTAAAGCTGCTGGACTGGCTTATCTACAGCTTCTGGCTTCAACATGAGGTCTGCTGTTCTGTTCCTGCTGATGCTCTGCTGCTCCGTAGGTGAAGGCCGAACGGAGGTCTCTGTTCCTGCAGACGATGGCAGCAGGACCGAAGCACGTCCCCCCGGGGACCTGAGCGTCCTCTGGGAAGAGATGCAGGGCCTGAAGCAGCTGGTCCTCAGTCTAAAGGGGGAACAAGTGGAGCAACGACAAGAACTCCGGACTGTGGAGAGTCGGCTGAGGGACGGGGAGATGGAGGCAAAGCTGCAGAAGCAGAGCATGGATGAGCTGCAGATGGCGCTAGACCTCCTGCTGACGGAGCAGACCTCTGGTCTGAGGAAGAAGGTGGAGGAGCTGGAAGAGCAGACCAAAGGTCAGAATAGTTGTTGTGTTTCCTGTTCATGTGCTTCATTAACCTTATCATCCTATTGGCTGATCATAGCTGTGACGAGGAGATAAAGGCGAGATCCATCAACCAGAGTCCGTTCAGTTCAGTATATTTGGACAGATAAAGGCAGAGAGTTCAGGTTCAATTCTAGCCAAACCTTTTCCAAAAAGATGTAGTCTTAACTCAGCACAGCAACCCCTAAATCTCTGGTCCCCAGTTCCACAAGCAGAGTTCTGGTCTGCTGGGTTTTCTTTTGTCCGTCTACCAGGACATTCTAGAGCTTCATGCTACTTCCTGCTAACAAACTGGATGGAGATGTTGATTTCATTTTCCAGCAGAACTTGGTATTGGCCCACACTGCCAAAAGTACCAAAAGCTGCTTCAATATTCATGGTGGCATTGTGATTGATTGGCCAGCAAACTGACCTTTAACCCCATCTTCAAGAGGAAGATGATTGAGCTTTAGCTTCTTTTTTTTTTTTCTTACAAAAACAAAGCAACAAAACTGTCAGTCTGTGGATGTTTAAACACTAAGAGGCAAACATCCAACCACCTGCAACTGGAACTGGAGAGAAAAGTTGGTTTTCCACTGTACTGACTGAGTGAGGCTGAATAGAAATGTACACCACACTTATCAGATTTTATATATGAACAGTTTTAAAGTCATCCTCCACCATATATTTATTTAGCACATAAAACTGATAAAATACTCAGTTTTGAAAATGTTTCAAAGCTTTATGGATCCTTCTCTCAGGCGTTGCGATCCTGACCCCAGACAGCTCTGACATTTCCTGCCTCGTTTGTTTCTCTTAGCTGAGATATCAGAGCTTCATGCCAGAATAAACAGCAGTGACAACTCAGTGGAGATCCTGAAGAAGAAGAACTCAGGTGAGTCCCAGGAAAAACAAAAAGCTGCTGGTGTGTCTCTGCAGCGCTGAGCGGTTCGGTGCTGCTGTCTCTACAGCTGTTGCGGCTGAGCTGCCATTCCTGCAGACCAGACTGAGGGCCAGTGAGAGCAGCGTGGAGCAGCTGAGGAGGAAGGACACAGGTCATCATCCTCCTCCCATCAACTTCATTACTTCTTCTCTGGGTTCAGCACAGAGCTCCACTGAAGTGTTCACACTCCCTGACCTTATCCACATCTCCTCATGTTCCTACCACAAACTTGTTTGTATTAATTAGGATTCCTTTGTGACAAACCAACACATACGACTGTGGAAGCAGAAAAAAAATGATAATTTAAAAGCTGTGGAAAATCTAAAAAACATGGCGTGACTTCTGTTCCCAATAAACATAGAATTCCGCAAATTGAAACGACAAAAGTGAATTTGCTTTATGGAAACACAATAATTTTGAAAAAGCTCATGTTTTTTGATAAAAGGTTTTTTGGTCACATTAAATGGATGTATTTTGCGAAACTACAATACAAACACTTTTTTTCGCATCACACAAGTCACATGATCAACAGCTGGATGGTACTACTTTTGAAAATGTCGAAGAAGACAACAGGAAGTAAAAAAAAGACAACAGGAAGTAAAGAAAGACAACAGGAAGTAGCCACAGATATGAATCAGGAAGTAGCAGGAGGAGGACAGGGTGTTTTGTTACTCAAAGTGCAGCTGGATCCACCTGAGCTCTCACAGCTTCACTCAGTTAACAAAAGTAATGTGTCATTCTGAAGTGTTAGACATTTGTCACATGTTCTGAGTTGGACAGGCCAGTAGGATCTGATCCAGTGGATTTCCCTCTGGATGCCTGCTGTCAGTAACCTGCGTTTTGCTGCTTTCAGTTCTGGCAGGCAGACTGTGCAACACGGAGAGTTTGATGGAGGAGCTGATGGGGCAGATCTCAGGTCAGGCTGCTCCTCACACTCTTTGCAGTCTGGTTCGTTCTTAGATTCAGTGAGACTTTCTAAACGTTTCATCACACTGAGCTCAGGATGTTTGTGGACCTAGAAAATGTAGCTAGCTACCATGTTTTCCTGAAGTTTTCTCAGTTCTGTTGCAGGAGTCTTGAATAAAAACTTCAACTCAAAGTAAATTCTGAAGCCAGTTTGATTTAGCAAAGGTTGTTTGATCTTAATCTCAAACTAAGAACTACAGTAAAAGTATTCACACCCTCTGAGGTTTTTCACATGTTGTCACTGCAGCCACAAGCTTCACTGTATTTCATCAGTGATGCTCTGAGCCTCACTGCCAACTTTAATCATCAGAACGGATCAAACTCAGTCAGACTGGACGGAGGGCGTCTGTGAACATCAGTTTTTACATTTTGTTACAGATCCTCAGTTGGATTTATGTTTCAACTTTGACTAAGCCATTTTAGCATATCAGTATTATTTTATCAGATTCAAAGAATGCCACATCTGTTTTCTTATTTGTGAAGAAAATGTGAAAACTTTGTGTTCATCTATGACATGAAATCCCAGTAAAATACATTGAAGCTCCTGACTGTAATGTGACAAAATGTGGAAAGTGGAGCGTTTTTATCATTCTGCTGCAACAGTTTGAGTGGCAGCAAGAGTAGAAAAGCAAAGTATCTGCCAGGAGTCACTACAAACGTTTGTGTTGAAATGAAAAACATTCGTCAGATTTTCTTCTCTCCCAGAGATCCAGGCCTGCAACACTTCAGCTGGGATGGATTCTGAAGTTCTGGTGCTGGAGAATCACCTGGACATCCACCTAGACAAGCTGAAGGCTGACATCGAAGGTAAGGGTCAGCCTTCTGGGTCCAAGACATTTTACTAAGAGCACATGATGCTACTACATCAGCCTCCTCTCCTCTGACACTGTCATGCAGCAATGAGCCCATAGTTACATCACATCCATGTTTCTGTCACCTTTTATTCAAAGCTCATCTACTTGTAGTGGGAAACTGGCTTGTAGCTGAGACTTTGATGAAAACTTCAGACGATCCTGGAAGGCTAACATGTTAGCCAGAGCTATTCTACTGACCTGCAGACGACCTTTGATTCATTCCGGTTAAAAATCCAACATGCTTACAATAATTCAACTAGAACTGAGGTGCTTTATTCGTTATTCATTTTATTTATGACATCTAAAAAAAATAATAAATAAATAAAAAATAAAAAAAACAGATGCAAGGGCTTTTTCTAATATCTTAAGAGAAGACAAAACTGACTGACGAGTAACTTTTCAGTAATATAAATAGTAATTATAATTCTTGAATATAAATTAAACCATACTAGCTCCACAGGTTGATGGTTTCACTTATAAAAATACATTTTTTTTCTGTTTTAAATTTAAAAAAATCTCCCAGTGGAACTAGTACTTTTAAATCTATACTCAAGTGTTATTGACTTGTTGTCTGATTTAACAGCAGTAAAACTTCTTCACTGGAACATCAACATTTCAGCTCCACTGGTTATTAGAAAAAGGTGGATGTTTTATCTGACTCTCTTCCTTTCCAGGTCAAATTCATGAGTTGGAAAACAAACTGAGTTCCAGTCATGTGGGTCTGGACGGCCTGAGTGCTGCTGCTGGTCAGACCATTCAACAACCGGTCACACCATCAGATTCTTTTATTCTGGCCTTTAACACCAAACTGAACTGTTTGCTGCAGAGCATCGCCTGAACCAAGCTGAGAGACAACAGGATGAACTCAGGAACCACAACACAGGTGAGCAGCACTTTGACCCATGTGAAGGCTGACGGGTCCATACAGACCCGACCCACTGACCCAACATACAGGACATTACAGTAATCCAGCCTACTGGTCACCATGTTGCCTTCAAAGATCAGGTTTTATTTTTGCGAGCTGCTGCAGTGGAAACAGCTCGACTGAACTAATCTGACAGTGGAGTTTGACTTTTGCACGTCAGTCAGCTTGTTTATCAGTTAGTTATATGAAATAAATAATCATTTTAGTAGTTCTGATTGTAGTCGAAGTTGTTCTTCAGGATCAAGTTTTTTTAAAACCTGAAACAGATGCAAAACATCCATAAGTTAAATAAAGGAAGGCAGTAATCAGGCTGGCTTTGATTGATAATGTGCAATTAGGTGTAAGAAAAACATTTCAGGAAAGTATCTGTTTTAAAAGGAAGTTAATAAACTCTAGAATGAAGACAAGTGAGACAATAAGAGTCCAGTGACTGATGGAGACAGGCAGCAATCCCCTGGGACACTTCAAGGTCCGACGGCCTCGACGAGAAAAAAGGAAACTATTTTTACTGTTTTTTTGTTTGTTTTAGAGTTGGTGAGCAGACTGGAATCCAGTGAAAAACAGCTGGGAGATCTGAGGACAATAAACACATGTATGATGTTTCCTTTATTGAAAATGAAACTTATTTTAAAAACAAGTTGAAAAATGAAATATATAATAAAAGACAAATCTGTTCTGTAGACATGGAGACCAGACTGAACTCCACTGAGGAACAACTGGACCAATTAAAGAATCAGTCTGCAGGTACCATCATCAGGTCTTGTGTTTGGTTCTGTTCATCCTCTGTGAAATCATGAAATGAATGAATGAATGGATCCTGTTTAGTTCTGGAGGTCAGACTGAGAGTCAGTGAGAGACGACTGGAGGAGCAGCAAACAGGAAGCTCAGGTAACATGGGAAACTTTTACATCGACTGAACATTTCTAATAACTTGTCTTAGCTAGAGCAGGTTTGTTTTACATCTGAACCAAGAAAACAGAACGTCTTGCTCCAGATCTGTTGTCTCACATGTAATGTTGTAGAAATCCTCCAGTCCAAACTGTCTGGTTCAGGTTAAAATGACTCTCAGTTATTCCATAATGTTTCTAACAAACTTGTTAAAATAGATGATTAAAGCTTATGAGTTTCTGTTTTAAATCAATATTATTGCATAACGATAATACTGAGTGGGTTTGCTGCTAGTTGCTACTAGTTACATGGTTCAACTGTTCTGATGTTATAAATTATGTTTATTTCAAATCTATGTGTGACTTTCAGCTCAGTTCTCCAGGATGGAGTCCAGACTGACGGATGAACAGAGCAGAACTGCAGGTCAGTCACATTTTCACAAATCATTTGATTAATGAATCATTTCAAGATGTTTTTTTAATTATCTTTGGGCTTTAAATCACAGAAGTTTGCAGATTTGTAGGTCTTAATCATTTTAATTTTAAGAAATGATTAAAACATTTTAAAATTGTAATCATTTTAATCAGTTTTCTGGTAGGCACAGTCTGCCTACCAGAACTGAAACACTGGAGAAACCCAGTGCTTAGATAACAGGTTGAAAAAATGAGACCGATCTGATTCTACACATTGTTACACATTTTAATGAGTCATATTATAGTAGTAATGATTTATAATAAATTATTTTTCAGAGTTTGAAACCCAACTGTCAGCTGTGACTTTCAGACTGAATGTGACTAAAGAGCTTCTGGATGATCTGAAGAATCAAAGTCTAGGTGACGGATAATTACTTTTTTTTTGTACTTTTTTTTTTTTTTGTTAGCAGTTTGTTTCTGCATATTGTGTCTGGATGAAGGGTTTTGTGTTTTATGTGTCAGCTGGAGCAGCTGAACTGGCTTCACTTTCAGAGAGACTGACTGCAGCTCAGGGGAACACAGAAGGTAAATTCTCCTGAGACATTCTGGGCGCCTGACGTTCAGAAACAATGAAAAATAATGAAGGTGTTTCATCTAAGCTGCCAAACAGACTGAAGACAGAACGATTAAACTCTTCAGCTCTGATGTCATCACAGAACCAAACATGGAGAAGCAGGGTTCAGCTTCTATGCACCTCAAATCTGGGACGAACTTCCAGAAAACTGAAAAATAGCTGAAACACTGAGTTCCTTTAAATCCAGGCTAAAAACAAGCCAGTTTAGAGTTGAACCATTTGAATTGTAATAAATGGAATATTGACCGACCAACATATTTGATGTGTGTTGATTTTTAATGATGACACTTGACAAAATGTAAAATCTGTTATTGAATTTCACAGCTCATATGATGTTTATGATGTAAAGCACTTGAACGGCTGTGTTGTTGAAATGTGCTGTGCAAATAAATTTGATTGATCTATTGATCGCTGAGGCTCCAACATGTTTCTTTCAGATGAGCTGAAGGTGGCTTTCTCAGCCGGTCTGACTGATTCAGGAATAGTTGGTCCATTTGATGAAGAAACTACTCTGATCTTCTCCAAAACCATCACCAACGTTGGCCGAGGCTACAACAGCTCTGCAGGTAGCAGGAGGACCATCTCTGTAAACGCTCTCTCTGGCTGCAGGGCAGTGAACTGATGAATTAATGTTGCTGCTGCAGGTGTTTTCACCGCTCCAGTCACAGGACTTTATTTCTTCAGCTTCACGGCTGCAGATTATTTGAAGGGTTACATGGGCCTGTACCTGTACCAAAATGAGCAGCCAGTCAGCTTCAGCCTGGACCTGAATGACCACGGAGGGTACACCTCCATGACCAGTGCAGTGGCTCTGCAGCTGGACCAGGGCGATCGGGTTCGCCTCGCTCTGCCAGCCAGCTATCGGCTCTATGACGACTCCAGAAACTTCAGCGTGTTCTCAGGTTTCCTGCTGTTCCCGGTCTGACCTGGCTGAGTCAGGAGCAACATGGAGTCTTTATTCAGACTGAAATAAAAGTTGATTTCTTTGGTCAGTGGAAAGGTCAGTCAGTGGTTCCATTTTGAACAAACTCAACTTGAAGCATCTTGATGAGTATAAGTACACATTTCATCAGGTTGGATATGTGCATTATTTTGTGGTCTGTCTCTTGTCTGTGCTGTGTATGATCTAATCCCAACCTGTATGTCTCTCCATACAGGTTGGGAACAGATCCGGTCATGGTTGGAATGCTGAGTGACATCAAAAACTGGGGGAAAAAAACAAAACAAGTGTAATATCACATCTATCCCACTCAAATCAACAAAAAAATCAAGTTGTTAGGAGAGAAAATGTAAAAAAAAAAAAAGAGAGAAAAAGATAGCATTTGATTCTGACATTTTAATAAAGTCACCTTAGCTCTGGGTTGGATTCTCTAGTCCAGTACTTGACTGGTTTGAATCTTACCTATTGACTTCTTTATGTCAACATTTAACGTCTCATGGCAGAAGACAGAAAAATCACAGATGGGGACCTCAAGGTTCAATCTTAGGACTCCTACGATTTAATATCTATATGCTCCTTAACTACGCAGATGATCCACAGCTCTACATTATGATGTCACCAGGTGACTCTAAACCCATCCAAGCACTGAACAGATGCTTAGAACAAATCAATGCATTGATGAAATGATCACTGTTTCACAAAGGGCCATGTGTTTGGATTTTTTTCTCCCTTAATAATAAACACTTTCATTTAAAACTGCATTTTGTTTATTTGTATTGTGTTGATTAATATTTTAACTGGTTTGATGTTCTGAAAAAAAGGAAATCAATGAGGTGGCAAATACTTTTTCAGATAACTATGTATCAATTTTATACATTTCTGAAGACCTGCATTGACTTTGACATGTCAGAGCTGTTTTTTTGTGTTGATTTATTTGAAAGAAAGAGTCTGAAATCTAACGTGAAAAAAGTGAGCAATCCCGATTTCTGATGGCGCTGTGTGTTGTGGCACAGTCAAAGTAAAGAACTAAGAGTTAAAGAAAGAGAAGATCAGAGTAAAATGTGAAACTTTTATTAAACGTGACAAAAACAACAGGAAACAGGACTCTGACGTCTCTGTGAACAAAGTTCCCCAGCTCTGACCCGACAAAGCCCCGTAGTGTTTGCCATAAAAGGTGAACGAAGGTGCATTAAGGCTCAGATCAGGACTTCCACCTTAAGACTTCTAAAAACACTCCGGTCTCTTTGGGCCGGAGCCAGTAGTGTAACAGCTCACCAATAAATACAAAGTGTTATTTGTTCGCTTCAGGAATCATGCAGATGCAGGAACATTTACATCAATCAAGTCTAGACAAAGTATTGCTCTTTGATCGCTGGTTTTCACTTCCTCCTACTTTACAGTGAGCAATCGTCTGCAAGAGCTTCAGACAGACTTTAAAGGTCCTGGTAATAAAACAAAAACGGCAATCTAAAAATGCGTCCAAAAGAGAGTTTGACACTTTCTGGGGGCAGCTGGAGGTCAGGAGGTAGAGTTGTCATTCACAAAGCAGAGAGAGAGTCCTTCAGGTCCCGTCTCCTCTGGTTGACGTGTAAACAAGTGCAAAAACTGAGCCCCATGTTGGCCCCCGGTGTGCTTTCTGTGTGACAAAAACACACTGAATGTTCAGGAAAAAAAGAGCGCAGGATGAATGAGGAGGTGAAGTGGTGAGTGAGGCTGCAGCTGTAAGGTTCACTGAACAGTGTCAGACTAGGAAGAATTTTTAAAAAAGTAAGATATTTAAAAGTAGGGAGAGAAAAGAAGTTTGAGTTTAATGTGCGGAGTGGAAGCAGCTCAGGTGGAGGTGTTGATCTTCCTGTTGACGGCCTGTAGGAGGAGCAGTGAGTACTCCTCAAGTAGAGCCGCCGTCTTCACCTCCCCCACCCCTCCCATAGCTCCCTCCAGTCCCAGCATGCTGGGCGAGCCCAGAGGGAGAGAGTCCAGCTCTGCCCTCATGGCCTGGAAGGCCTCTGATAGGAGGAGAGACATCTGACACTGGCTGGGGGAGGAGTCATCTGCCGAGGAGCCGCTTACCTGGAACAACAATCTACATGTTAATGTATTAAACACTACAAAAACATGAAACAATAGCAAGTATTTATGCTCTAGTTTCTAGTGCAAATATCTTAGTTTACTTGAAATAAGACAAAGCAAAATTACAAGTAATTTTTCAGCAAGATGTAGAAGCTTGTTTTAATTCTGTAAAATTGATAAAAGAAAACTACTAGTTCCACTGGCAGATTATTTAACTTATAATAAGATATTTTTTCCATCTTATAAGTGGAAAAAAATTAAGGGTTCACCAAAACAGTCTTCTGATTACAGACTTTAAAAAGCCTGACTTGCTGATTACAATTTTGGCCGACAGTGATTTTGTTTTTGTCTGAATGTCGCTAAATGTAGCAAGAAAGTTGCTGAGTTGGCAGCAATGACCTGGTGACCAGTCTGTCAGTCACACCTCCCACTGCACAGCAGAAGAGGACAGTGGCTGATATTTAGACCTTTGCTGAGGTAGATAAGATCAGGGGAAAAGATGGGCTTCACATGTACATATCGGCTGATCACCGATCTCCACCGATGAAGGAAATCTGGGCTGATTTATTGATGGAAGCCCAGAATGACTGATGACTGAAATCAGGAGATTTTCAGCTTGATCAACCCTGATGACTTAAATATACACAATGTAAAAACAGAGGATCACATTCACAACACTCTTCCTTATGCACAATATTATTATTTTTAATAATTAATTTAATAATAATTTAGCTATTTTCTGCAAACAGCCAGACTCTATTTTCTGCTCCATGTCAACAAACGGCTGTGATTCATTCATGGAAATAAAGAGCAAGGCTTTTACTTGATAATAAGAAGGCTGAGTGCCGCATGGCAAAGTTGTTTTATCATTTTTAGAGAAGTGTAAGCAATAAGGACTTTTTAAAATCAAACCGTGTTTGAGAGACTTTCAGCAGATAACAGGAAGGCTGCATATGTGCTTTGGTAGAGGGAATTAAAGTGACAAAATAATGTAACTTGACAATGAGCTGCAGCAGCACTAGCAGAGGAAAACAGACAGTCTGAGCAACATGTGATCATCACCTTCCTGTACAGATGTGTTGCTCTCTTAAAGCATCTCTGCAGCTCATTGGTCAGAGCCTTGCATGTCTCCAGGCTGACCGGCTGATCTGTAAGAGGAGCAGCAACAGGTCAGCTCACTTCCGCCTTCACTTTATAGACAGACAATAAACACACAGCACAGCAGCAACGACAGTCAGGGGAAAAAATCATGTCCAATGCGTCAGTTATAAAACCAGTGGAGAGCGACCACGTAGCAACAGAAACAGCTCATAACTTTATCTTGTACTTAAATGGTCTAATAAAGTCAACAATATTAACTGCGAACACCTTCAGTACCTACATTTAGCAATTGTCCTGAACGATGGTAGGGCAAATGCTGCAGTTACTGAGTGTGCTCGATACTCCAGATATTACGGTAAATGTCTGAGGTCTAAACAGGACATTCATGCCTAAGTATGTCAGAAAACACACAGGCTGTGATAGGGTGTCCTCATTTTTTCACGTGACTGTATGTTGTTCACAGAAATACACTCTCATACAAGTAGAGGGAGGCAGCAGAAAAGAAGGGAAAAAAAGGGAAACAGCTAAAACGCCAACAGGAGACACATCTCACCCGTTGCAGAGGGAGAGGAGGAGGGGCGGAGCCAGAGACATGACAGGATGAAGTGATGAAGAAAAAGAGGATGAGAAGGAAGGCCAAACCTGGATCGTCTATGGCGTCTCCACTGGTACCTGCACGAGTCAGAGTGTCCTCCTGTCGGGGCAGACCCACAGGACAGACGGACACTAGGGGAGACGGCTCTGAGGAGGCGGAGTCAGCAGGCTTGGAGGAAAGGGAGAAGGAGTCCAGGGAGATTTTGTCCGGAAGTGGACGGCTGCTGCCTGGGACGCGAGCCTGGAGGATCCGGGAAGAAGGGCCTGCTCGGTTACCATAGCTACCCGCTGACAGAGGCAAAGAGGAAGAGGCGACAACAGGCACAATGGCAGCATGTTGGGGCGTGGCCAGAGAGGCGTTGGAGTGTACCACGGCAACGAGAGGCGGGTAGGATGGTGTCTCTTTGAGCTGGGACACTGCTGAGCCGGACGCCATGGCAACATCCTCAGGCTCAGAGATGTGGAGGTTGTCGCCAATGGAGACAGAGCGGGACATCTTAGCCATGGAGCTGGCAGTGGGGCTCATGTAGGAGCGAGGCACCGACAATGTCAGAGAGGGTGAGGAAGACTTTCTTGGCGTCGCCGTGGCGTTCTCCTGCTGGGGGGACCTGGGGGAGCTGGAGCTGACCTTTAGATTACACTGTGTTGTGGACGGGGGCTTCCTAGGGGATGAAGGGAGAGTGGTGGGACGCTGAGGAGGGGCGTCTCTGGACGGACCAGAGCTCAGCTGGGAGTCCAGAGAGTCTCCTGATGAAAGAAGAGAACAGAGAGGATCAGATGTTGAGGGGTGGATAAGGGTGGGCTGCTGCTGGTGGGGATATGAGGGTTACCTGTGCTGATCAGCAGGCTGTGGACTGACTGGGCCTTCTTGAGCCCTGAGGTCAGGTGGGAGGCAACTGAAGGGACCACCAGGCCTTGCTTCCCTCTGGGTTCGTCCAAGCTTTGGACCTTCTCCTTCTGTGACGCAGTCTTGGTGGGGGGATTGGTTAGGCTGGTGGTCCCTGCTCCGTCCCCCTGGGGCAGACTCTGACTGTGTGCATGAAGAAGCTGTGATTGGTCCTGGTGAGTCTTTGAGGTCTCCTGCTGGTCCGATGACTCATGACTGTCCTGTGTCCGGCTCTGGATCCCGTCTACCAGGGGGCGGACTTCAGAGACCAGGGGCCTGGCCTTCACCTCTCCCACCCCTCCATGGGAGCTCCACATTGGGGGAGGAAAGTCAGTCCGACTGAGGAGCACAGATAAGGTTCAGTATACAGCAGCCCTAGTGTGTCTTTGTGTGTGTGTTTCTGCGTTTCTGTTGACTATGTAATTGCATAATTTGACATTTCAAAAATGAATTCACTTAATGAAAACGCACCAATTTCATTTAGTTTAAAAACAAAAAATGCTTTGCCACCTAGATGAGGTGGTTGTTTTGCCGCATCAAAAGTGCTTTATTTTGCAAAAATTGCAATGGAAACACTTTTTTGCATCACACGGGTCACATGATCAACAACCCGATGTTGCCACTGACACAAACCATGAAGAAGAACACAAGACATGGTGCGGCGTGTTTTTTAACACGGCGCGCCATAGCCAAAGCTC